CCCCTGTTTTTTCGTTTGTGTATCTTGTGGGTGTGCATTCTTGTTGTGTCCCCAGTCATGTAAAAGTTTTCCTAGTCTCCTAATTTGGTTACTAGGTGAACCTTCTCCAACTAGTCGTCTAATCTATTCGATCTGTTCTGCAGCAGGAGGTACTTTTCAAACATAGCAAATAATATTAATAATAAACACTTTTTAAAGATGAATACATTTTTGTAATTTTTTTGTCATTGTCCCTTACCTGTCTCTTACACCACCAGGGTATACCTATTTTCCATATTCCCTTAATTATAGATTACCTTACAATTTTTGAATGAATAAAACATTTTACCCATGAAAAATCTAATTTTGAATTTAACTTTTTTTTTATTTGAAACAATTGGTACCTATATTACAATTTATTATCAAGGAAATCTTCTAATAAAGTTATACCAAATCCTACTTAAACTACTGGTTGTTCTGCAGGATAAATTAACTTTTCTTGAGATTGATCTCTCTATAAAATCCAGAACCGACCTGATGTCCCCAAATTTATTTTCCAATGCATCCTGATTTAAAATTCTGCCCTTTTGTGATTCAATGTTTTTTTCTTCCTTTAGAGTGGCTGTTAGAGGTAGGTGTATGTAAGAAATAGCTAATCTCTAATCATTTCAAAAGTCCTTTGCCAATACTACATGTACAGATTTTTTATTCAGCATACATTTTACTTTTCTAGTAGATAGGTAGGAATTTTGTGCTACCATTAAAGCTGTCCAGACATTCATCTACCTACTTAATGAACACAAGTAGCTGTAACAATGGATCTCTGTTCCAATTCACCTAAAATAATTATAGTCATTATGTAATATATTATTAAACACACACATTATACAGTGGTTTTCTTAATAAATTGGAAATTACTTACCTCTAGAAAGAAATGTGTACAAAAACGCGAGTTTGGTTCCAGAAATTGCTTCATGCAAAAAAAATATGCAAAAATAAACATTCCCCCCCAAAGAAAATTAATTAAACAACAAAATCAGACTCAAAGAAATATACGGGCCCAAATTAAATTAATTTTAATAAAATGCACATGTTCATAACAACATTCATAACATTGTCAGTTGTCAGTTTTAATCGATATTTCGACGTCAAAAAACCAGCAACACCAGCGCCCTCTGAAAATGGTGTTAGTTTTATTGGAGAGAGATAGACATATGTAAAGGTCAATGTAAAAGAAAAAGAGGGTCATATATGTAATTTAAATGGACCACCGAACATATTTTCCTATTAAGTTACACGCATAGATAAATTAATATAAAACCTTTATTAGTTTATCTATGGTTACACGTCTCTGTTGTCTCTGATCGACCTAAGCAGCGAATGATGTCTTTAAAAATGAAGTAAATACTGCCAGAAGATTGGAGAACATTTTTTCAAGAATGATTTTCGAGGGTACAAAAATGCATTGAGTATGGAGGATAATATTTTGAAAAATTAGAAGTAAATGTTTTTTTGTGAATAAACTGTTTTACTTTACTAGGCTCAATGGAAAGAGAACAGCCCTCGTATATTAAACATTAGAACTGAACAGAATGATTCTAGGCGATGAAGTCGAGCATTCAAGCGATTCAAGCTAAGTGATACGCCCTCTGGAGGAAATTTGTAGAAGGTCCGAATAAGTAGGATATCGTTCAGTGTTGCCAGAAGTAGCAAAACTTCGCTACGTCGTCGGATTTTAGCTCTGGAAGAAGTGGATAAAACCTTTTATTTAAGAATCAAAATTTGTGTATGTTATGATAATCTATATTTATTTAAGGATTTTTTTATAAAACCGATTTATTATATTGATTTTTTTTAAATTTCAGTTCATTTATTAATTTTGTTTTAAAATCAGTTCATCATTTGGCAACATTGGCGTTCATGTTCATTGTTTACATTTTAATTTGTATCAATTACAAATAGAGTTTTTTTTACTTTTTAGCTTTAAATTTGTTTTTTTCTTATAGCATGTGATAGTGTTTATATTAAAAATGAAATCTGTGACGAAGTCCCCAGAAAATTGCAATCTATATGGTGTTAATGTCAAAATCAAAACTGAAGATTCATTATTTTCCAAGTACAAGTCGTAAAATTTTGTTTTTTACGATAAATGGATATCTACAAATTCACAATATTGAAATTTTACGAAACTTTGTTTAGAATCAAACTGAAATCTTATTTTTTGACGGTTTTATTACCATTTACATGTATACAAAGTACTACGTGATTCACTTCATAATATAAGAATAAGTCTAGTAAGATTTTTAAATAAGTTCATCAATAATAAACGTGTGGTACCTGAAATGTCCTTTAAACCACATAATACAACATGTCCTGGGTTTAGTGAATACATATTTCTAGATGTTCTTGTAGTAACCAATAGGTAAATATTTCCAACAAATTAAGTCATACACATGATAAATATTATATTTATGACGAAAGCACGAGACTTAAACTTAAATTAACACTAAATGAAACTCAAAAACACTATTACAATGAGAATATTATCTAAAAACAGTTAAAAAAATCACAAATACAAAATCCGTCCAAAACAAAAACATGTAAATAAACAAACATCCTACTTATAGATGACAAATGACAGGCGCGCGAAAATTAATTTGAATCGTTATATTGAATTAATCATCGACAAATTTTGTTATTTTATTTTTCTAATTTTGACATATAAAGTGTCAAAAGGATTTACTTTACGTAACCAGTTGCATAATGTTGAACATTATGAAACTGTTTCGAAAAATGCATTGTGTCACCAGTGGCGAAAAGAAAACATAAAAATTAACATTTTTTTGGTTTTAAAATCAATAATATACATTATTATTATTGAAAGTTTATATCAAAGTAAAGGTTGACTTATAAAAATAGAATTTGGTTAAACTTGCAACTTACTAATAATGTTGTTTTGGTCCTTATTTTCCAGTCCAAATCAACACAAAAAAATTAAAACACAATACACGACAAAATAATCCACTTTTTGAAAACTAAATAACTTTAATAATCAATATAGTTGTAGTAGTAGTAAGTCGTTGAGAATAAATAATTAATAATGACGTTCTATGATGCATATGCAACTAACAATACAAAAAAGTTTTATTGGTTGCCTAGATGTCAGTAATGTTTTATATTCCAACTAAATAGACCTTTACAGCAAAATTTTGGAGGAAATACGGGAATTTTTGATATAAGTCACTTTAAAGTATTTGAAAACGATATGTAAAAAATTTTGTTTTTCAGGCCCCGGCAAATGGCGAAAATATAGTGTTTTTTAAGGTTATTTAAAAACGGTAGGTGATATAAAAAAAGTTCTTAATAAAAATTGTGAAGAATAAAGTTTTATATAAAAATGATATTTGGAATTTTTGCAATTATTAAAACTAACAGAGTTAGGGTGGTTAGAAGTTAAGAGGAGATATACAGGGTGGGCCAACGAAAACTTTACACCCCAATTTTACGGCTTTAAAATGAAAATCTGGAAAAAAGCTCAAACCCATCAATTTTTAATTATAGGGGTAAAAATTTGGTTTCTTTATCCATGTAACTTCAACCCTCTAACAGGAGGAAGCAGAACCCTCTGATTTTGAATAGGGGTGAAGGGTGTTGCAATGTTTCATTTTGAAGATCTCATCGATTACTATCTGACCGTAAAATTTTGCGTCAAAATTGTTATCGATAAGAGCTAAAATAGTGAGAGAGGTCGATAGAGGTAATATGAATAAAATGTCTACCTAATAACAAACACAAAGAATACTTACTTCTGTGATTAGTTTATTAAATCTTGGAAATGGCCACCATTAACTTCCATGCAGTAAAATAAGTTTTGTTCAGAACGTTCCCGTACATTACGCAAAATGTCGGGTGTAATTTGACGACTTTCATTAATTATACGATTTCGCAAATCATCCAGTGATTCGGACTGGGTAGCGTAAATCTTAGATGACCCCATAGAAAGAAGTCCAGTGGATTCAGATCAGGTGACCTGGGTGACCACTCAATATGCCCCCTTCTTCCAATCCAGCTTTGAGGAAAATGCTCATCCAAAAATTGACGGACAGGTTGTACGAAATGAGGTGATGCGCCATCTTGTTGAAAAATGATGGCATGATGGTCTTCTTCATTCTCCAATACTTACACGAGGGCTGGATAAATAGCGTTCTCTAATAATTTCAGATACACTTCGCCACTGAGATTACCGGGTATAAAAAAGGGACCGATTATGTGATTTCCGTTAATACCAGCCCAAACATTTAGTTTTTGGGGATGCTGAGTATGTACTTCATGAAATACTCTTGGATTTTCATCTGACCAATATCGACAGTTATGCCTATTTACAAATGCCGTTAAGGTAAAATGAAAACTTATCGGAAAAACACATATGGAACTTGTAATTTTAATTATTGTTAATATTTTCACTGACCACTTCACAGAACTAGAGTCGGCGATCGAAATCATCCTCATTCAGTTCCTGAACCAATCGTATCTTAAAAGGATGAAACTTATGTCGTTTAAGGATTCTCCTGATTGTCGTGCGTGTTACACCATATACGTCGGACAATTTTCTAGTACTAAGGGTCGGATTTATTGCTACATGACCTAAAACAGCCACTTCCCTCGCTTCGCCTCTTTCATGCACTTCGACTGAATCAGTGGCATTACATAAGTATTGTTTAATTTTGTTTAATAATAAAAGTTTGTAAGATGTTTTTTATTTTTGAAAAATAAATGCATTAAAAAATTGGTCCTTTTAATACACATGAATTACCCGGTCATAAATTCATTTATGTGATTCTAAATATTAAAAGCAGTTATTTTATTTAAATTATTTATTGCAAAACATAGTTAACATTTTATATATTTAAACAAAAATATCACACAGAATAGTTCCATAAATTTAATAAACTATTGAGTGTGGCTTTTTTAACATAAATTGTGTATCTCCAAGATAGTAATTAACTAAAATTACAATATTTAGCTGTCATTTAAAAATGTTTATTAACAAAGTCAAAAAAGCAAGAGACACACAAGTCATGTTTCAAAATATTTTATAAAATAAAATACATGCATAATTTTTATCCTAAATTGTATAATAAAAAGGTTTATTTCATTATTAACTTAAGAGTACTAAAGGACTAAAAAAATCACAATTATAATAAATATACCTATACGCTTATATAGTTTCTTCTTGACTTAATATTTTGATCATTTTTGTCTTATAAAGAAAATGAATCATCTTTTTTTTACGGAAACTATACACGTATCTAAAGTATACGTATTTTCAAATACATAGTTTGTATTTCAATTATATTATGTATAATATCAGTACCGAACGTAAAAATGTCTATTTCCATACTTTTATAACGCCATCTCGCGATGCTGTAACAAGGAAGCATTGTGATGCTTTGCACATTGCAATATCAGAAATACAATCTCTGTGACCAGCTGCCGGTGGCTCGGGTCCCGGCCTGGGTATTTCTTCACCTCTGTCCAATTTTCTTATGGTGCCTGCTTCTTCATATATCACCAACGTACCTAAACAATAAATTACCATATTAAAGTAAAAAATTATGATAAGTGAGGAACTATTGCAAAGTGATCCACATTAAGATGAAAAACTAACAGCAAACGACACGGCAAAAATTGACTCTGAATCGGTCTAAATAATATTGAAATCAAGGGAGGTGGCTCAGTTGTAGAGTCTCTGCCTGCGAATCCAAGGGTCCCAGGTTCGAATCCTACCGTTGACCGGGATTTTTATATTTAATTATTTAAAATGAATTTAATGCCTTAGTAGGATTCCCCACTCGACCATTCACTGTTGGGTTTTAATTAACAGTGCTGTTCCTAAAGTGGCGCTGGGAAACATTAACAAAGTTTACACAGAACACGAGGCTAATAACCTTAGTAGTTGATACCAATGACACCAAATTAAAAAAAAATACATTAAAATTATACATAGAACAATAGTTATTTTACAAAAAAGACTAGATCGATAACTTAGTTTCATAAAAAAAATTTTCATTAATTCACAATATATACAGTGTGTGCCATAAAGTTGGATCCATATGGAAATTTTTTTTTAATATTACGATTGGATGAAAACGTCGTAGGGCAATCATCTCTGCTTATTGTAACACTTAAAACGATTAAACAAAATACCGACTTTAACAGTTAACTAATGCCAGGAAAACAAGGCTCAGGATGTGGAATATACTTCAGATCCTTAAACCTAAACATAAAATAGTGTCAGTGTAGTTAACAGGGATTTTCATAGCAGCAAAAAATCACCAGATACAGTATCACTGGAAGGAACATGCTCATCTATATAGATAGCAGACGAGCACTACTCGCCCTGAACATGCCACGAATTTACTCAGGGTTAGTACTAAATTGTCAAGAAGCTTTGGCCAAAGTATCTATCAACAATGTGGTTACCTTAAGATGGATCGAAGGTCACGCCACATCGAAAGGTAACCGCCTTGCTGATTTACCTGCAAAGAAGGCAGCTGACCAAATACTTTTTGGACCTGGCCCTTCTATTGGACTGACAACATTGGTAGTGACAAACCTAATTAAAAACACTCCCTTGTGAAATTCAAGGAAAGATGGGATGAAACAAGAAGCTGTAGACTTGCCAGGGAGCTTTTAAGTTATCCTGACAACACTCCAGCGAACAAATACTCGACTATGACGAGACAGAATATGCGCCTGATCACAGGCATTCTGACTGAACATTGCCAACTACTGAATTTTTTTTTTTAAATAAATTAAATGAATAAAAAGTTACACTCGATAAGTGAAAACTCACTTGTTTCGAGTTATAAATTACAGTACCTATATATATATTTAATTAATAACATTATTTGGTAATTTACAATTAAAATATATTACACTTTATTCTTAAAAAGTAGAACTACATATAACATATAAAAGGCAAAAAAAGAGAGAGTAACAAAAATACACACAAAAAATTAATTAGAAGATTTGTGTTCGGCGAGAACTGGCTAACACCGGCCGATATAAGAGAAGCGCCTCTTGGCGACGTTGTCAACTATATTAAATCTGTAGACTGGCTCACGAGTCAGGAGGTGCCTATCGATTTAGGAGGATGCACAATGGCCCTAGTGAAGTCTAAGTGTCGTTGGTTAACCCACCCTCCATACGTTACAGATACAGAACTAATGCCATTGCCACGTTTGAATATCCACATCGGATGCATCTGAGATGTTGAGAATTTTTTATCACATGATAGAGAATTAGATCTGAATGTAGATGTAATAAACGCTCTAGACTTTATTGGTCACGTAATAAAATGACAATGTCAAGTTAGAAGTTTATACTTTTTAAATTTGACTCTTGAGACTACAAATCAACCTAAATTTGAAATCTAAAGAAAAATTAAACAAACTAATCACTTTTATATTTATATTTATACTGGCATAAACAAAGGATAAATTGACAAACTTGGCTTCATAGAACACTTACTTTCTGGCATGGAACGAACATCTCATTTCAAATCGAGATGTAAAAAATGTAATCTGGACAGGTACATCTCAGATAAACAAACGCAGATGTAGTAGATGTGTCCGATGTTGATAAACAAACGTTCGAGATGTAAAAATGCACCGGATGTGGATATTCAAACGCGGCACATACCTAGTTAACTTTAATATAGGCTATTTTAAGTTTTTTAAAAAAGCAGAGAAAAATACGACATTTTTTCCAATGGTAATATTAAAAATAATCCCATATGAACCCACCTTTATGGAACACACTGAATACAAAGTATACAAAAAGTAACGTTACTTGCTAATATTTTGATTTCTAAAGGGTTTACCAAAATAAGTTTAAGACTACAAATGGGATTACACAGGGTTATTTCACACATTTTAATCAGTTTTATATGATAATCGTATTGATTTCAATAACTTGTAAACTGCAAAAGAAACAATGCACTAATTTATTTTAATTCAAAACAAATCTGTACAGGGTGAGTCAAAATTTAAATAAATAATTTTATTTTTATTGACTACCCTGTATTTTATATCACCATTTAAAGTACCCTAATCATACTTTCATTTGAGTTATACTTAAAGTAATTTTGAGAGATTTTTAAAAATTTAAATAAAAAAAATAATTCAGCTGGTTAATAGAAAAGAGACTGTTTGTTAATTGGTAATTAGAATTTAATCATTTATTATCGACTGAATAAGTTTTTGACAATACCGAATAGGACTATAAGATTCAAAAAAAAAAAAAACACTAATAGCAACCAACCACACTCACTCCATTATAATATATATCTACATAGTACATACTTTATTCTAAGTTGATTTTGAAAAACCCCAATACTGACAGTTCATTTTTAGTATACTCTGTTTTTAAAGTAGGAGAAGCGATTTGAGTTTATGTTGGCAATTCTGTAGAATTCTGATTGGTCAGATTGCAGTCAGTTTCACACATCACTTTTTAGCATTATAAGTGTAGGCAAAATAATCGATTAATCGATTCTTTTTATTAATCGATTATTTTCGATTAATCGATTATTTTTGATTAATCAAAATTTAATAATTTTAATCAAAATATTTTCACATTACAAAAGTCTGAAAATTAGTCATTGTTTGCATTATTGTTAACTTTATTTTGATGCAAGTGCAATATGGATATTTTTAGATTAACGATATGTGGTGCATTAAATTAATAATAAAATTAGCTTTCCAATGAAGTGTCACACTTTACAATACGTAATAGTTTTTATCAAGCTAGAGGACGCTAAAATCAAAAGTAATGCAATAACTAGTCTTATTACCGAATTCTACATCAAATTACCTGTCCAATAATGTGTCATGCTTAGGGATGGGCAAAATAATCGATTATTTTCGAATAATCTATTAAACGATTAATCGATTATTTTAGATTATTCGATTATTTTGATTATTTCGTTCATCGATTATATCAATTAATCGTTTATTTCGATTAATCGTTTATTTCAATTCATCGATTATTTCGATTAATCGACTACTTCGATTAATCAAAATATATCATTCTTTACCAAAATTCGAATCCAGCTATAACCGCCTCAAATTAATGTAAATTATGTGATCATTCTTGCAAATTTCAACAAGAACGTTCTTTTAGTCCCCTGTCTAGTAAACAATAGCTACTCCCATTCCAAACCACTTGTCAAACAGAACTAGTCAGAACGTAATGTATAAAGCTGAGATCCCCGCGAACTCTTGCTCTTTCCAGTGCCGAATTTCCGAATTCTCGAGTAGTCCGATATAGTAATACCGTCGGCATTTTTTTTTAACTTAGCCGCCTATGTAAACCGTGGTAAATATAAGGAATATTTCATTATTGGCTTTTACCATTAGGATTTAATTCGTTATTCTCTGGGTCGACTGTCGCTTGCTAAATATTAGCAAATAAATAATTTGTTATAGTCTGAGAAAATTAGTCTCCGTTCCGTTTAAGGATTTCTGAACTTTCGTAAGAGAGGCTAGTTTAAGCCTTGGTTTCTTTGAACACTTCGTCGCGATGAGCGGACAGTCCGTCAACCGTCGCGTTTTGACGATTTTATCCAACCAGAGTATTTAAATGGGAATGGTTTTCTTGAATCCGCTTAGCTGAGCAGGACGGATTCATGCCGCTGATTTGTCGCGAAGAGTCAGTTGATATCTGTTGAGTTTGATATCAGCGGAATCGTCGGCGTGTGCGGAGACTATATTGTTATTAATTTTAAAACAATAAGTGACAAATTCACACATACAGATGACATCATGACTTTATTTTTAGGTTTCTTGGAAATTATGTCCTTTATAAAACTCAACACGAATTCAAAAAGATCTGTAGAAAGTCTAAAATACTTCCTAAATTTGGTTTCATTTCCAAAAAGCCTCCGCTGCACAGTGATATTAAAGGCACCTTCTGTATCGCGATACAAAAACAACTCATCCACTGGCTTATTGGAAACTTTGACGGTTGCAATTGCCAGTTCCTCTTCCAACAATAATAACAACGCAAACAATTTATTTGCATCCATTTTAGTACCTTTCGTTTACATTCATAATACATAAACAGCACGTACAGACATAGAGAAAGTATCATTTTCTATATTTTTTTAACAAACCACCTCGGGCGAAAATTGCTGTCCTCAGCGGTCGACGGACTGTCCCGCTCACCGCGACGGAGTGTTCAAAGAAACCAAGGCTTTAGTGATTTCGAAGTCTGGTTTCAACGACGGAACTTCTTAAATCTGAAATAATAATTAATTTCCCAACTTTGTACGGAATACCGTTTTTTGAGTTCTGAAGTTACGTAAGCGCAGACATTTCGCCGACTTAATTTCTCAACATCCAAGGTGACCCGAGTCAATAGACCCTTCGCTACTTGGTGCACCATTACTTCAAATAAGGCAAGGATATACAGTGAGAACGCGTGGGTTGGAACAAATTCATTTAAAATTCAGGGATTTGTTTTTTGAAAAAACGCTAAGACACATCGATTTTTATTTTTGGATGTGGTTTTTTTTAATAGTAAAGTCACGTATACAGGATTACCTAAAAATAAGTTACGACCATCACCTTCATTTTTTTAAATGGAAACTCCTATTTTTATTTTATTTTTGAATTTTGTATCCATGGTACATGAAGAATTTAGAATTTTCTGCAAAATTCAAAAATGAAGTTAAAAATAGGTATTTCTCTTTGAAAAAATAAAGTTGATGGTCGTAATTTATTTTTGGATTATCCTGTATACGCGACTTCACTATTAAAAAATTGCATCCAAAAATAAAAATCGACATGTCCGAGCGTTTTTCAAAAAGCAAATCCCTGAATTTTAAATGAATTTATTCCAACCCGCGCGTCTTCACTGTATATAGTTTTTAAATAGTACACCTTATATTCGAACTAATAACTAACCATGCGCACTAGACATCCTGTATTCGAACTAATAAAGTTAGCAGCTTTAATAGTTATATTTTAAAGAATATATCCTAGCATTATTTTGGATTAATAGTGCACCGCGTATATTTCTAATTGACCTGATAACTTGATTTATTTGGTAAACCTATCAGAATTTTAAATATGCTAAATTAGTGATGATGTAATTTTGGTTCCACTGACAATTAGAGTGACAGTAGACTTTTTGAGTACGTTTTGTTTACCTAAATTATATAGTTTTTAAACTTTTATAAATATATTCCTAAAGTAAATAGATAACAAGCATCAATTATACAATCTTTTAGTAACCAATTAAATGCATTTAAACTATTATTTATGACCTGCAAAGATATCAAATACAATTATGTTTTTGTTAGAAGTTACCTGGCAGTTAAATCAAAATTACGTCTCACTAATATGGCGTATACTAGCAAGTGACGTATTTTTTTTCAAGCTTTATGAAGATTTACATACCATCAATGAGTCGGCTTCTATAACTTAAAGCAGTTCCCACAGGATCATTTGCCCCAGGTATCGCCAAGTATGATTCGGAAGGGCTTTCTAAATCCCAAAATCTCAGTCTTTGATCTGTACCACCAGCCAAAAGAAAAGGCGATCTGTCAATAGAACCGCCCAACATTGCACAAACACTATTACTGGTATCCTAAATTAATAAAATAAACTATTAATTAAGACAAAATTAATAAATATTAATAATATAGGGGAATAGGCAGAATTTAAAAAAAAAACTTACTTGTTTTGATAAAGGAGGCGAGGTACTTCCCCAGAGTACTTTCTGTCTAAAACTAGTCTCTATATTCCACATGGATATTTCATTGTTGCCGTGAATACTAGAGAGAACCCAAGAGTGTTCAGTCGGATGACTTATAAGTTTCTTAATTCTTACAGTACCTAAAATAAGGAGCCATGCCAATTAATTATGTGATAAGTAAATAACACATTTGTGTTTTTGGCAACATTCCCATAAATAAAAGCATAAAAAAATTTTACCTGAGGGATGTTGAAAGTGCATTATAGGCAATTGGAACCTCAAATCCCAAGCAACGTGATGACCATTACTTGTTCCTAACATCAACCAACTCTGGTGCGAATCTAAACAAAAAGTAGTGATCACACCATTCCGTAAGCCGTTTTCTAACCTAAAAGCTGTTCCTGGTGCTCGAAGGTCCAACCCGACTATAGATCCATACAAAGTTGCATATACTAAAACGCTCTGAGATCCTGAATCCATGCATTGAAGGTCTACAGCAAATCCATCTTCGTCGTGGTTTAATTGACGCGGCTGAGCTAGATTCATTCTAAAAGTAGAATTAGTCTGTGAAGAAAACATCTTAATAATAGTACGAGTATATTGTGTTCTTACTTGTTGCTTGCAGCATCTATCCTCAATATATTGACAGATCCGTCTTGACAGGTGACTCCTAATGATTGACCGCTTTCACACACTGCCATACTAGTAATATTGGATCCTAGTTTATAGTGTTGTTTAGACCTATTCGCAATATTTTTGCCTTCCATCTTACTACAGTCCCATAACCTAGGATAAAAAAGCTTAGTTCAGTGCAGAACATTTCTATATCTTTTTGAAGTATGAACAGGTGGTGAGAAGTTAGGAACAGGAGACAGCTGCGCTACTATGAAGGTCTATCAATTCCTTATACTTATAGAAGAAACACCAGCTGTGAAGGACATCTACGACTACCATGCAATAATTTCTAGCACATTAACATGGAACAACCTTCAGCAAACAAATGAAGAAGGGTGGGAAAGTTGCAGTTAACTCTTGTCAAATAGCAGATAAAGGTAAAGTGGTAGACACAGAAAAAATCAATGGAGACAATGAGATAAATGTTCACCAACCGATAGAAACAAAAGAAGTGGTAATGAAGCTTCTTTACATGATTCAAATAAGATCCTAACAATAGATATTTAGTAATCTAATCATTATTTTAATTACCTAACTGATCCATCTGATGATGAGCTGGCAAAGAGAGGAGTATCTGGTAAAACACAAAGTTTATTTACTATTCCTTTATGCTCGTGTAAGTGAGCTACTAGGACTCCTCTTAATCTCCATCCAGGTGGTGGTAATTGGGGTCGCCAAGCTGCTTGTTCCGCCCATTCTTTATTTCTAAAAAACAAAAATGTACTCTTAAAAATCTCAAAACGTACCAATTAATATTTCTTTAGGTCATATGAAATATATTTATTCAACTACTGATGGATTTCAGCATCAAGAATGTCTAATTTAGAGAAAATTACATTTGACAGTATAATGTTAAATTTTATATCTGTAATAATTATTTGACTTGATGTTTATTAGAAATAATTGAAAAAATACAATAATTATTTAGAAATTTTAAAAAATATGCATACCTTAAAGCTTCAAAATAGTGATCTTGTTGTCTGCTTTTTAAATTTGCTAATTCTATGTAACAATTTGATTTGCGGTCTAAAATAGAAGTTTTTTAATTATTTATAAATATTTTCATCTTATTAAAGAATAATAATAATAATTATTACTTATTAAGGTTTTAAAGTTACATAATATACTTACATTGAATGTAGGATCTTTCATGCAAACTAACATTACTGGATGGATCGGTAGCGCTAAAATGATTATTGCTGTCAGGAGGAGGTGATGAAGGTCTACTGGACGTACTCCTAGAAGGAGGACCACCAGAGTTGGTGCTTTCCGACTGCCTGGTGAGAACTTCTGAGCTATAATTCCAGTCTGAGTTAATGTTAGTGTCTATAGATCCTGATGTGTTAGTTCTGTGTAGTCTAGAGTGAAGAAAAGTTAGTGAAATATGAGTTGGATTATTGTCAGTAAGGATCGACGAGATGATGATATATTTTGCTTCAATAAAGTGTTTATATTGGACAGCAAGTTAGTATGGCTACCTCAGTGTATTTTAATTTTTCGACCAATTTAATATTGAAACAAAAAATAAATTAAACTATTGATGCTATTAATAAAGAGCATCTTGAAGAAAATACAGGTATTTGTGGATTATATTCGACCAATCAGGAACTGACGAGTCTGAGATACAAATTAAGATAGCTATAAAGAAACTTCCATGCTGTGATTTTTTCCAACCACTGAGAGCAGAAAGCAATACGTTCAGATCAACGGCTTCAAGTCTACTCAATCTCTGGCAACTTCCGGTGTAGTATCTAATCTGGGCCCTTTGTTATTTAACATATTTATAAATGATATATGCAATATTTTAGATACATATATAAACTTTCTTCTATACTCCAATGATTTAAAGTTGTTTTGTCATATCGAAACAGTTAAGGACTGTGAACAGCTTCCAGATAATAAGTGTTGAGGAGTGGTATCTCAATAACAATCTTCCTCTTAACCTCTCTAAAAGTTTCATAATGTGTTATATCTTAAGTCAATTCCATTAAGATTTTAACTACAGAGCTAATAACACGATTCTTCCAAGACCAATTACTATCACAGACCCACACAGGGGAATACACTAAAACTGGAATGGAAATATTAGAACTACTTCTTAAAACTCATTTCCCTGATTGCACAACAAACTCGAATGCAGCAAACCAAACGCACACGAACTGGAACTCCCAAATCCAGCCAAGAGTGGGAAACTGCTAAACGGGTAGTCAAAACAGAGAAAGTAACATGCACCTCAATTCATACAAATCACCGGGACCAGATGGGGTACTGCCTCTGCTTTTGCAACAGGCAATAGAAACGCTAGCCCCGCATATTTGTAGGCTCTACAGGACAAGTTTGGTGCATAAACATGTACCAAATACCTGGAAACAAAGCAGGGGATGCCCACATGGTGGAGTCCTTTCTCATATCTACTATGGAACCTAGAGTCATCCTTATCCGAGGAAAACACCAAACCACAGTCTTTGAACTCATGCAAAAAACTCTTTGGTTGACAGAAATGTGGTGTGTTAGGGAAAACCTCTTGGTAAACCCTGACAAGGCACAACTCATAACCTTTACTCGGAAAACAAGGTTGGGGGTTTTAGAAACTCCGACTGTGTTTGGAGGAAGGTTAAACAAAACGACCCAAGTAAAATATCTGGGTCTAATCCTAGATAGCAAACTTTCTTGGAACCAACACTTACAAAAAGTGACCAACAAATGTAAAGTGTCTGGCTATATTTGGCAACAACAATACCCATGATAACTTATGGAGCGGTTGTTTGGTGGCCAAAAGTAAACCAGAAAACTGCCCTCAATACCCTCTCAGGCGTTCAGAGACTGGCGTGCCTTTGTATTACAGGAGCACTGAGAAGTACACCGACAGCCTCTATGAAAATAATTCTAAACCTCTATGATCTAGTCATAAAGGGGAAGGCCAGAATGAGTGCATACAGACTGGAAATCAACAACTGGAACCCACTGGGACATAAAACGTACCAGAATAACACATGAAGTAAATGATTCTATATTAAACATGGGATTAGATCACATGACACCCCTCCTAACCTTCAACAGACGCTTCCAGGTCAACTGCAACTGGAACGAGGTGAATAAGGAGATAGATAAATACTTGCTTAGCTGCCTCGTATGGTATACGGATGGATCTAAAACTAACAAGGGAACAGGCTCTGGCGTACATGGAGTTAAACCCAAATGCGACATCATCGTCTCACTGGGAAAACATACCACTGTATTTCAGACTGAAATACATGCAATCGAATTGTGCGTACGAGAGAATTTAAGAAGAAAGTACAAAAACAAACCATCCTAATTCTCTCAGATAGCCAAGCAGCCTTTAAGGCTCTTGATTCAAACATAATCAAGTCAAAGCTTGTCTGGAACTGCCTTGGAATACTAAATGATCTGGCAACCCACAACAAGGTAAAACTAGCGTGGATACCAGGGCACAAAGGTATCCAAGGAAATCAAAGGCTGATGAACTCGCCAAAGAGGGATCAGATCTACCATTCACAGGACCCGAACCTATATTTGGAATAAGCAAAACCTCTGCTCGACAGGCAGTGAACAGGTAGATAACCACAAAACACCAAATTCACTGGCAACAGATAAGAGGGCACAGAATCAGTAAGCTCATGCATGGCTACTGAGGCACTACAACTCACAAGGTCTCAGATATCCACCATTGTGGTATTACTAACGGGGTACTGCTTGCTGAAACACCTTCATGTGATGGGATTACACAATGATTCCACTACGTGTAGACGTGTGTAGACTCATACCATGTGATCTTCGAATGCGAAGCTCTTACTAGACGACGTTTCATCCTTTTCGGCCTAGAACCGGAAAGAACGCCCCAAGAACACTTGGCAGGGAATTTATTAAAACTAACCAAAGATACAGGACTATTCCAAAGCTAGTACCTGAATACGGGGAAAGCAGGGGAATACAATAGACCTAAGAGGGTCAAACCTAACCCTACCTGCTTATAACCAACAAAGATAAAGATCACAGAGCTTGGAATTACATCTGATTCCACTTTATCAATAGACAATCATAAACAACAGTATTAGCATCGTACAAAAATGTATGGTTTATCGTCTGTAACAGTCGTGATGTTTATGAACAAAAATATATTAAAATTATTGTATTATTCATTTGTGATGTATAAACTTGAATATGCTTCAGTTCAATCACATATTGAATTGGGATATTAAAACATTATTGAAAAAATTAAATCATTTAAAAAACAATTTAAAACTACCTGTTAGACAAAAAATCTCCTTTTTGGGTCTCTCCTAGGTTTAAAATATGGCTTCTAACTGTACTATTCACAGAACTAATTTCTATTTTTCCTTCATTTTGCCTACTCTGTCGCCCATCAGGATGTATCTTGAATTTGTTAATTTTTTTCAAGTGATGTAGCATTTTTAGAAAATATTCTTCCATAGATTCATTCATGCCGTTTGCTTCCAAACGTCTAAATAACTACACAAATATTTTGTAGTGTCCAATTAACTTTTAAATTTTATAATTTACTTACATTTTTTAAACTCGGTGGAATATCTCTATAAAAATCAGTGGAAGGAACTTTTCCTGTATTTACACAATCTCTTAAGGATCTTCTTTCTTTTAAAACTTCAAAAATCAAATCAATTTCATTGTAAGTAACGACACTATCATAGACATTTCTTGGGATTGGACTTACAAGTGATTCTAACAATAGCTCAGGCCTGCAAATATATTGCAATATTTTGTAAAAGCCTTAACAATACATCAATATATACAGTGCTACTCAAAAGTCCCATCCCTCAAGCAAAGGAAATAATATTTCATGTATTCAAATATTTTAAGAAAAGTTTTTCTTCTCAACAAAGTTTTGCAAAAAACGTTGGTAGTAAAACTTATAGCCAATGTGTTGTGAATAATGATCTCAAAACTCTCACTAACATTATAAAAGAAATTGCTTCGTAAAATCTATTGTTTTATTTATCTTAATGTAAAAATGTGATTTACTTATTACACAAAACAAAACTAGGACGCTACTGATCTATTTTGTAACCAGTAAGATCGTATGAAGGCATGCCAACAAGTGCGCAAATTATACCCCACAATAGACTGTGAAGCATAACCATTCAAAATATAAGAGGGAGGGGGGACTTTTGAGTAGCATTGTATATTAATAAATTCATACTTATCAACTTGTATCAAAGGATACTTCATGTATATCTTCAATTTAGGGACTAGTTTGCACTGTACATCTAGTATTGACAGCGTTTTTGCAGCGGAAGATATAAATCCAGCTATTGCTTGTCTTACCCACAAGTTGGGATGAACCAAGAAATAAGAACACTCAGTAACTAACTCGCATAGAGCCGGTTTGGTTATAAGACCCAGCTCAGTCAATGCTGACATGGCATTTATACTTTTTGCAGTTACAAATTCCGAATGATCAGTTAAACCCTAAAAAATTATCTTTGTAAAAATCACTAAACATTTTTGATTCAATAATTTCAAAGTTCAAATTGGGTTACCTGCAATAAAAGTGGTGTTAAAATACCAGAGCAATGCCAACCAATGTAAGCTGCCACTCCTACTATACAATCAAAAAATGTTCCCCTCAATTCTTTGTCTTCTTTGTCATTTAGAAAAGTTATCATGTGAGAGAGAAGGACATCATTAGCTAAAAAGTGAAAGAACCCACAGAAAAAATTACTTTACAACGTGAGTTATGTACTATACTTTTTATATAATCACAATGAATACACAAAAATATTTAAAAAGTAGACTACTTTATTTTATAAATAAATACCTTTAGTTTTTCCAAAGAAAACGCAAAGTTTTGTTATCCCGCTATCCATCAATGTTTGCTTTACAATAGATTGTGTGTCAGTTAGAAGAGCACTGACAGTTTGGGATATCATTTCATGTAATGCTTGCAATTCAAGTTCATAGTTAAAAGTGTGCTCGTCTTTTTGTTTGTTGGTGCTGTTATTGTCATACCAGTCATTTTGAATTTGCTCTAAATACCTAAAAAAATCCAACAGGTATACGATTTTTATTGATGATTCAATAATATGCAAATATTAATATTATTTTATTTATATTTAGATAGTACGTATTTTTTTCCAGTTTAGCAACAACGCAGACGATCAGCTTTATTTCGAATGGGAATAATTACTATATTTGATTTTACCTTAGCGCTATTTCAGCTAATGTAGCTATGTTTTTAGCATAAGCTGCTCTAACACAAGTATTTGGATCTGTAGCCAATGGGGCTAGTTCAGGAAGGATATATTCTGGAAAAATGTTTGCATCAGATCTTGAAATTTTTGTTACTGAGTCTAAGCATTTGGTTATGGTATTAATTGCTGAAATTTTTACCCTTGTTGAACTATCGTGAGCTAAATACATCTGAAAGAAATTTAAATGATATCGACAATGTCAAATATATTTGTTGTTATTAATCGAAAAGTTAAAAGAACTATTACTTACAATGTAAGGAAGTATTCTATCTAACACAGTCTCGTCACTTGCATGAGAAGCCAAATCCAACAATATCTCTAAACTGTACAGTTTCGAGGAGCATGTATGCAATCCCCGTATACAGGATGTAACCAATGAAGTGATAATAACAAGTCCCTCGCACTCTCCTTTATCAACCTTTTCAATATCAGCTTTTTCTTCAGTTTTATCATCATTGGATTTCGTCATTGGTCCCAAAAACGTGAATATATCATTTATATCGCTTTTCAATCGCATAATTTTTTCATCTGGAGATAAAATAGGACTAGACGAAAATATCAACATGTAAGATTGCAAGAATGAAAAGAAATATTCTGGAAATAGTGTTCCTCGGTACTCCGCTAAATAGTCTTCAGCTCTTTTGCGTTTATGTGGATCTTTTTCTATCATGTTTGAAATAAGGGACTTTAAATTTGGATCTTCTAGTTCTAGTTTATTGAGGTGTTTCTGAGGAGAATATTTACCAGAACAGTAGGCTAATAGTTGGGAATACTCAAAAGGCATATGAAGTTCATTCCATAGTTCCAGTAATGCACAACTGGAATAATTAAATAAATGACACACTAAAATCTATTGGCGCAAAGTTGGCCTATAAATATTTTATTATACAGGGTGAGGAACGCAAATCTTTTCATATACATATAATGTCTAGTCAACTAAATAACTCAGGATTCTCCCAAAAGGAAGTGCATTGAGTCCATTGTTTTCAGTTTATATTAAAAATTGTAAAATATATTTATTTACAGATGACACACTTATTTATTATGGAAACTCAGATAGCCTATACATACATTTTTTTGTTATAGATAATAATAATTTATAAAATATGTATAGATACTGCTATGTCAATCTGTAGAGCTTAAGTATAAAAAAGTGATTATTTAAACAGGTACATATATAATTAAAAACAATTAATACAGAATAATTATATTGGGAATTAAATAATAGAGTTACAAAATATAAATAGTTGGGAATTTAATTTCATATTACTATATAAAAGATTCTTACCCAGCTGAAAAAATATCCATAGCAGGTGTTAAATCACCAGAGTCGACATTGGCTTCAGCAATCAAAGAACTACTCTCAGTAATGGTAGTGCTTGTACTTGAAAATCTCTCGGGAGCTAAATAACAAACTCTTCTACGTGATGTATCAAAAAAATAAGAATAATCAGCTGGGTTGTCAACTGGTACAAATGTTGGTTTGAATGAAGCAAAATCTACCAACAACACCCAATTCCAAGATGTGACAGTGATGTTTTCTAGCTTGATATCACCATGACACACTCCCACCTTGTGACACTGATGTAAAGCATATAATATTTGAAATGTAATCCAACGTTTTTCAATATTTGTTAAAAATGGTCTCGTGCTAATTCTATCATATAAACTGTATTTGATGTATTCTCTCATGATAATTCCAGCTTTTTCGGTCAGTATAATTTTTTGATAAGGGATACAATTTACAGCTGAGCTTAGCTTTTTTCTCACATCTTCTAAGTGATCTTTATAAGGTAATAGTGGTAATGAAGGGTCATGTATTGCAAATACCTTCACTACTATCAGACCTTCTTGAGAATCAGCTCGAGCAACTTTTAGGAATCTTGTACTGCCCAAACTGTACAAATAAAATTATATTTATATATTTTAATAATTATACAGTTAAACATTATCTACATACATAATTTTTAACATTATTGGAACCAATACCTTTAATTAGAACTTGAATCACAATATCTTATAATTTATTTATGGACTTTTACAAAGCATAAGCAAATATCAGATTAAAAAAATACACTTAAGCCCTGCTACTTATTGCATATGTAGGTAATTTTAATTCATAGAATTTAGTTTGTGTAATTTGTACAAATCTCTGACTTGGTTGTGAAATGTTGGTTCCTTGGTTGCAGGGTTACCAGGTTTTTGAAACAGATATGACGGACAGACAGGGGATTTTAGGCGAAATAAAGGGAAGCAAAAACAACTCAGTCCATTTTCATTCTTTTAATCAAAATTACTTCCGTACCTAATTTTGGTGAAGATAGTTGGAGCTATTTTTACAAATAATTAGATAATCGCAAAGTTTTTATTCAAGGTACAAAAATAGAATACCTATGTCATAAGTTTCAAACAGAAAAAAAAAAACAAAAATAAACTGAACTGAACTAAAAAAAATTAAAATAACAAAGTCGTTTAGCTTTTTTGTCAGGGATTCTCTCTTTATGTGTATCACTGCTGCTGCCACTGTCGGCACTATCTTGGGAATCACCCATTTTTAAACTCAAGCACACTCCGTTCACAGCACGGCATGTCATACAGCAGAGCAAATGTTCTGGGCGACCTGGTGCCCTATTCTCGAATTCATGAGAGCGTTCCTATGCTCTCCTGCTTCATCACTAGTGTTGCGAGACGACCAAAATCAAATTGTACAATGCTGAAGAAATTATCTTTCTTTTTTCCTCATAATTTTATCATACGAAACTGACCTTACTAGTGTGACGTTATCTAGGCTGGTTAATTTAAGAGTTTATGGGGTTACAGTTAGGGTAATTAGAAAATAATTTTATTGAATAAACATGAAACAACATAAAAAAAAAATAACCGATTCTTGTTCAGCTAAAGTTTTAAAAATAATGTATTTTTCTTGTAATCATGTAATCCTTTCTGATTTTGATCTTCCAATTGTTTTTGTCTATACATTTTTAAAGATTTATCATTTCATACGTAGGTTTAAAACTTACACATTTCACGTATTTCCTTATGTAAAGTGGCAACCGGTCAAATTTTCTGAAACTTTGGTATGTTACTGCACTCAACCTAGTAACCAAAAGTGTAAATAGGCTCAACTTAATCCTATGACTAGTTTTCGAAATTAAAGTTGAAAATTGCCTAGATTTTCGAAATTTTTATTTTCAAACTTATCGAGCTAGATTGAATTTCTGTTGTATAAACACACGTTTACTACATAACATTAATGCATACGTATAATTAAAAATATTTTAGTTATAGGGTGATTCACAAATGTATGATGGTAGTTTTTCCAAAATCTCACTAATTTTACTGTGACGTCAGGGAAGAATATTTTTAAAAAATACTACACAATATGGTATTTTGGCAACAAAATATTATACAATACATTTCCTATACAGGGTATTCTAATAGAAACATTTAGATTACTATATATTTTAAAATCTTATGGTTACATACCTACCTAATGTAATGATATTAACTTACTCAAAAGTTACTAAATAAATGCAAGGTCGTCTTTTTAATAATTTCAAACCATAATTATTTTTTTGGTGGTTGGCTCACCCTGTATCAAAAGAAATTAATGAAATAATTTCTCTGTGGCGCAACTGTAGTTATTCAGTGTTTGCAAAAATATTGTGATTTATTTGTGAAGCAACCCGTAACAATTATTTTAGACCATTATAGCTGCTTGTTTCCAAAGATTGGGGGTTCACAATGACAGAATATCGATATGTATTAGTACAGATGTAGGTAAAAACTTTCACTCTTCGGTATTATATACCTTTCTATACCTATACCTTTCTAAAACACTAACAGCCGTATGCATAGTCGATCGCCAGCGACTCGCCAGCGATTCGCTGGCGATCCGCCGGCGAAAGCCCAAAAAGCTGGCGACTCGCCGGAGATTGTCACCGGAATGTCATTTCACGCAAGTTTTCATGTTCTTTTATAGGGAAAAATTTGATATTCGTTCATTATTTTTTGAGTTTTAAGAAATGAATCATGAATAAAATGCGAGAGATATCGGTGATAATCCCTATAAAAGAAAATAAAAACTTGCGTGAAATGACATTCCGGTGACAATCTCCGGCGAGACGCCACCTTTTTGGGCTTTCGCCGGCGGATCGCTGGCGAAACGCCGGAATGAATCTCTGGCGAGTCGCTGGCGATCGACTATGCATACGGCTGTAAAAGTTTTTTACCTACATCTGTACTGATATCTATATTCTGTCATTGTGAACCACCAATATTTTGGTCATTAGCCGCAACTGGACATCTACCCAAAACTTTAAAGAAAAAATAAACTAAATTCAAAAATTCTCCACTTTAACACCATGTATCTCGAAAAGTGGTCATAGTATCAGATTTAAAATATATAACTCTTAAAACGGTGTTCAAATGATTAAATGGGAAAATCTAAGGTGTTTGTGGTTTTTGTACTTTAATTAAAATAGAATATCTTCCAACAAATAAGCCGCCTTGTATATTTTGAAGCTTAGAGGTACGCATATTATAGTGATATTACTTTCCTCAAAAATCAATTTATTGTACAGGGTTTTGAAGTAATCCCTAAAAAAATTATTTTGTGGTTCTCACTATAAAACACCCTGTATAAGTAATGTGTATTGTGCAATATCTGGTCAACAAAATACCATATCGAGTAGTACTTTTTTAAAAATGCTAGAATTAGTTAGATTTTGCAAAAAAACTACCGTCACATTTGTAAATCACCCTGTAATTAAAAATATTTTTAATTGCATGCACGTCATAATATATTACAAAAATATTAAACGCTTTAAATGGGTGTATGCAACAGAAATTCAATTTAGCTCATAAGTTGGAAAATAAAAATTCCGAAAAATTGGGCAATTTTTCAGTATATCACACAAATACGATAATTATGGTACGTCTTGCAACACTGTTCTCGCTGTTAACATGATTTCTTATAATTTTAGTCGAGTGACATGCGCAGCAAGCCCAAATTATGAGAGAGTGCTCTCACACTCATTTTCCCATAGTTGGAGAATAGGCTCCCTGGACGGTCATTAACTATGCTTTGATGGACTGACGGACACACTATTTAAATGCTGGACTGTCCGTCATAATGACGGACGGTTGGTAACCCTGCTTGGTTGTCCAAACAATGACTTTGTAATCACATAGTGTGTATTTGGCAAATTCTGGTTCCTAACTTTTGATCTTGATTATATTATAAAAATATAAATCCTGTTGGGTAAATTCTTTTTTTGGGAAATTATTCAAAGCTGCCTCAAATGTTGGTAGTTTGTCCATAACAGGGAGGGGGAAAGTGATGGAGATGACATCATGTGATTTAAGTAACCCCACTTTCACCATATTTTAAAGTGACCATACGTCCCACATTGAGGGGACAGACTCCCATTTATGACAAGTGACCCCTTTTTAATAGATCCCCCATTGACACAGTAACTAGATAAGAAAAAATACTAACTGATTATTTTTTTAATATTATGGGCAAATATCATTTAAATATTTCAAAGCTGCACCTGCAATTACGTGTAGTAAAATTAGTTCAAAGAATAAAAGTTGTGATTTTTGAGTATTTAAGGTAAAACTATTAGGACCGGTACATGCAAGATTTTTTATTAAGTAATAAAAAAAATCACAGTTGTCAATAAAATTTGGATTACAGAAAAAACGCAGCTAGGTGTGGAAACCCTAAGACCTATTTTGATGGTGAAATTCAATATTGACAAAACTTGCCAACACAAGATTATCGACGATAAGTACAGATTTCTTGAAAAAGTTCATAAATCTGAGAAGTATCTGTAGTATTAAAAATATTTTTTAAGTTCGTACTGTCTTTTTAAATGTTAAATTGCATTTATATTTCTGCCATTTCCTTTTTTCATCCCCCAATTGACTTGAAAAAAATCTGGTCACTTTACCATATTGGTATGAAATTTTGACATTTGTATGTGTAGGTGTCATTATATTGTGTTTTTGATTACAATGAAGTACCTAATTTCTTTTCAAAACTTTAATGCAATAACATAATTATAGATAAGACTGAGAGACACTTGTCCGGTGCAAGTAGTGTGTGAAGTCTACACAAGATTGAGACAAGGATAAACCTGTATATCTTTATCTCTTCACGTTTTCCTGGAACATGGCATTTTGGAAAAAAACAAAATTAACTAGATTTTAATAAGACATCAAATTTTACAGATTCTAATTTGTAATATATCACATTGACTGCTCTGGTCCATATAATACATCTAATTAATTTTTGTTTTTCCAAGAGGTCTCTGGTTGAGGAAAGTGGCCATAGCCCCTTTACTGGCATAGGAAAATGGCTATTTAAAAAAAAATTATTGATGTTCAAATAGATCTATTCAGTAGTCAATTAAAAAGATCTATATTGACGGATTTTTACTAGTAAGTGTATTTTGATGACTGAAGAATTTGTCATTGTTGAATCTATGCAGCACATAGTACAATTGCCTTTATAATACAAAAATGTATCAATGATTTTCGATGTTGAAGTGAAGATTGCCAATCAATGAAAAACGTTTGTCACACTTTGTTTAATAACAAAATATATCAAACTAAGTTGGTTTAACTGAACAGTTTCCACATAGTTAACAAAAGGAAAATATCTCGAATAGTCATAATAGGTATTTGTATTCCAGAATAAAATAAAAGATAATCTCAATAATCTGATAGTGTCAACTGTATAAAAGAGACGATCCAAAATAAATGATTTGTACTAGGTTCTAGTTAATAATAAAATGGTTCAAACGTTTACCTTACCTTGTATCGAATTTCAAATTAGGAATATCAGTTAAATATCTTTCAACTGGGAAAATCTGCGATGGAGCTATGCCCACAAGTTGATTTCCCATTTTAATTTTTAACTTAAATCTAATATTTTTTCTATTTTGTTGATGTTTTTTGTTTTTATGAAAATGAAATGTCACTTTGACAACATGAACATTGAACTTTTTTTTGTTTAGGCATTTATTAGCATTCTTGAGTACACTAGTAGATAGGTATAAAAAAACCGATATATTCGAGAACGTATTTAGTTGTTAAATTTCTATTTGTTGTCATTCAGAGATATGTACTTTATTTGTAAGGCTATTTGGATGATAATTTAGTTTTATTTATCAATTTATTAGTGGGTGTTGTGGCCAAATGGCACACAAAAAAATGCCAAAATCACAGCTGATCACAACTGTCAACGTCAGACGAAGTGTCAGGCTTTTCTAAAAGTTGTGTTAGGTTAAGTTTAAGTTTTTTAAATGATTTACTAAATAAAAATAATAGGAAACCATTTATCGTAATGGAAGTAAGCCCTTTATGTATAATTCTAGTAAAATCAGATAGTAAAGGAGACAGGCTCTTATTTAGGTATCCTTTTCAAACACAGCATAACAATGAGCCTTCAAGTACGCGAAGAAAAAATCCTTATACCCTCCCAGTTGTAGATGATTTATTACAAAGTCCAAATCAACCATATTCAAATATAAATAAAGAAAATTTGACTGGGTTTACAGATGAAGTTTTGTCCTCGCTTTTTGCTGTTAAAACAGAGTTGTGTAATAGAAAGTTCGAACTCAAAGTAAATGATGTTAGATTTGTCAGTCATCCTACATTGTTACAACTTAGAAATAAACAAGAGAAAGAAGATGAGTCTGGTATGTTGATTAATATCGTGTTCGCCTTGCAGGCTCTAGCTAGTCACTCTGTAGGTAAGCAGTTTATTAAGAAATACCTAATTTTATATTTAATTTATTGAAACACGTTTTTAGTGAAATGTTATCATGATTTGAGCAAAAGAATGGGCATAGTATTAAAATACGAGGAAAAGAGATGTGGTTATGTTTCTGAACAAACCCAACTCATGACAACTGCACATGATGATGGATATACCAATGGTCCTAGTAGTGCTTTTAAAATAATTTTGGAAAAATGTTCTCTTGCTAACAACATTAAGAAGATGTATGATGATCTGTGTACTACAGGTAGCTTTAAAAATAATTATCAATAAGAAAGAATAGATTCTATTTTATTTTTGGTTTGGTGTGATTGGAAAACTTCAGGTAATCTTTTAGTAGAGGGTCCCTTGTAATGGGCACTTCCACACCACTTTTCTCTGATATCTAGGATTTCAATTTGACACATGCCACCTTTCCAAATCTCCACTTTTATTTTAGGGGTTTGTTAATGTCATGTATTTTCTTAGGTTATTTTTATAATAATAATAATTATTAAATATAATTTAAATAATATTTAATAATAATTATAAAATCAAAAATAGCCTGAGAAAATACTCAGGACAATAACAAACCGCTACTTTACAATTAGCTAAAATAAAAGTAGAGAGTTGGCATGTGAAATTCAAATTCTAGACTGGTGTGGACATGTGCATTTCAAGGGACTATCAACTATAAGATTACCAAAATTTTAAATTTAATCAAATTCTTCCTTAAAAAAACTAAGTCCAGAATATGATGTAAAAATACTCATTTATTCCAGGTATTTTTCAAGGTTTTCAAAGATAAGATTAATCTATTTTTTTAACACTTTATACAATTTCATTTATTTCAAATACTTGATTAATAAATACTGGTTTTATAGGTCTTGTGAATTTAAGGATCAATAGGTGGATACCACTTAGTTTTTGTCTACCACAAAAGGTACATCAGTGGCATATGAGAGGAAAAATTGTAGAACCAGAAGATATTGATAGGTGTGTTAATAGACCGCAAGATACAAATTTTACAATAAAAATCAATTTGTCTTTCACTTTTTTACTTTCAAATTATTTTAAACAATATTTAAAATGTTTTAAACATAAACTATTCATGATTTACAAGTAGTGAGATGAGCCATGAAGCATAATATACTTACATTGTATAAATGGCTAAAGTTTCTTCGGTTTAGGTTATAATTTTTTTAATTTATATTTATATATATATATAAAAAAAAACATTCAACATTTTTGACAACTTGTTTAGGATAAAGTAACATTTGTTAAAATTAACTTAGGACACTGTGCTTTCAATATTCATAAATATATTACCTCAAGTATATTATAAGAAATCCTTTTTATAGGTGTTTAAGTGCTTTACGACCATACCACAGTTTACTATTGTTACACCCATTGCATCAAAAAAATGATTTCACCTCCTTAGATGGCTCTCCATCACTGGACAGAATGCTGACACAATATTCACCTTTGAAAAATTTGCAAACTCTAGCTGCGGATTCTGATTTAACATTAACACATGTAAGTGTATATAATTAAATTTTTGTCAATTTTTTTTTATGAATAGTAATTTTAATTGAACATTTTTCTCTATTATAATTTACAAGATGGCAATAGTGAATAGGATATGGTTAAATAAGTGAAGACTTAACAAATAATGTACATCTGGAAATCGTGTATTTTACCTGATCGCTTCTTTCTGGTTCAAAAATCTGATGTGTCCAACACATGACTTTCCTATCTAGTTATTACAGGGTTTTTCCGTTTATTGTGTACAACCTATTGCAGCATCTCTATAAATGTTTAGAGGATAAACTAAATATATACATTGTCCACATACATCTACCGCGAAACATTTTTCTATAGATATTCATTGAAAATGAAAATACTGAAAAATTTAAATTTAGAACTTTTCCTACAATTTTTCCATTACGGTCCATTTAAAAAAAATCATGTATAAACAAATATTATAGAGATCGATATCGCAAACAACTTTTATTTCAACAATTTTCATAAAAATCAAAATTTTGCACATTTTGTCAAATTTCTCGAATACGGACCATTTCAGGAAATTTTTACATAAAGCAAAAATTATAGATAATAATATTAGAAATAACTTTTATTTGAACAATTTTTTTCTCCAAACATAAATAACAGATATATTCCATAAAATATAAAAATGGCCTTCCATAAAGTACCCCCCCAGATGTTCCGACTTTGTCCAAAATCTAATAATTTCACGTCAGGCCGAAATAAAACTTAAGTTTAAAATTTATTGATTTTTTCTTTATCCGTTTTTGAGTTTTCTTCAAATTTCGAAATTTACACATTTTCTCAAATATCTCGAATACGGTCCATTTTAGAGAAATTATCTATGGGATAAAAATTATAGAGAATTATAATACAAACAACTTTTATTTGAACAATTTTTATAAAAAAATATTTTTTTTTACATTTTGTCAAATTTCTCGAATACGGACCATTTTAGGAAAATTTTGTATAGAACAAAAATTATAGATAATAAAATAAGAAGTAACTTATATTTAAAGAATTTTCTTCCCCAAACATAAATAACAGATATATTCCATAAAATATAAAAATGACCACCTATAAAGTACCCCCCCAGATGTTCCCACTCTGTCCAAAATCTAATCAGCTCATTAGACGCTAGAACAAAGCTTAAGTTTGAAATTTGGTGTTTTTCCGTGTATCGGTTCATGAGTTATGCGTTATACAGACACACACACACACACACACACACACACACACACACACACACACACACACACACACACACACACACACACACACACACACACACACACACACACAGACACACACACAGACACACACACACACACAGACACACACACACAGACACACACACACACACACACAGACATCATCGCGAAAATAGTCAAAACGGATTCAGGAGACCTCAAAACGTAAAAATCCGTCGAAAACTCGAGGTCGAAAAAAATCATGATTCCTATACTTTCCTTATATCTGTATACAGATAGTAAAGTAAAAATTTAAAATTGTTTTTTTCATTTTAGGTATTTGAATTAACAGCTCATCTAGTATACTGGGCCAAAGCCACTGTAATATTTCCAATATGTTCCACCAACAAGTATGTCATATCACCTAATGCTCCCATACATCTCAATTCACCTCTGGTAGAAAAATTTAGTGACACCTTTCCTGGACTAAATCTGATCAGGGTTATCAGTGAGTTTTCCCTACCGACATCTCTGGGACAAAAATGCAATCCGTTATGTCATCCATCTCAACAGTCACAGTTAGTGCAAACCATTATCTGGCTGTTACAGCATCATCTTTTGTTACAGCTACATACTTATATTCAATATATGCCTACTGATAATGGTCCATTATTAAATAAAGGGTAAGTATGGATTATTTGCAAGTATTTTCATTAAATTTTCATAAAATTTTCATTAAATTTTCATTAAATTTTCATTAAATTTTCATTAAATTTTCATTAAATTTTCATTAAATTTTCATTAAATTTTCATTAAATTTTCATTAAATTTTCATTAAATTTTCATTAAATTTTCATTAAATTTTCATTAAATTTTCATTAAATTTTCATTAAATTTTCATTAAATTTTCATTAAATTATCATTAAACTTTCATTAAATTTTAATTAAATTTTCATTAAATTTTCATTAAATTTTCATTACATTTTCATTACATTTTTATTACATATTACATTTTCATTACATTTTCATTACATTTTCATTACATTTTCATTACATTTTCATTACATTTTCATTACATTTTCATTACATTTTCATTACATTTTCATTACATTTTCATTACATTTTCATTACATTTTCATTACATTTTCATTACATTTTCATTACATTTTCATTACATTTTCATTACATTTTCATTACATTTTCATTACATTTTCATTACATTTTCATTACATTTTCATTACATTTTCATTACATTTTCATTACATTTTCATTACATTTTCATTACATTTTCATTACATTTTCATTACATTTTCATTACATTTTCATTACATTTTCATTACATTTTCATTACATTTTCATTACATTTTCATTACATTTTCATTACATTTTCATTACATTTTCATTACATTTTCATTACATTTTCATTACATTTTCATTACATTTTCATTACATTTTCATTACATTTTCATTACATTTTCATTACATTTTCATTACATTTTCATTACATTTTCATTACATTTTCATTACATTTTCATTACATTTTCATTACATTTTCATTACATTTTCATTACATTTTCATTACATTTTCATTACATTTTCATTACATTTTCATTACATTTTCATTACATTTTCATTACATTTTCATTACATTTTCATTACATTTTCATTACATTTTCATTACATTTTCATTACATTTTCATTACATTTTCATTACATTTTCATTACATTTTCATTACATTTTCATTACATTTTCATTACATTTTCATTACATTTTCATTACATTTTCATTACATTTTCATTACATTTTCATTACATTTTCATTACATTTTCATTACATTTTCATTACATTTTCATTACATTTTCATTACATTTTCATTACATTTTCATTACATTTTCATTACATTTTCATTACATTTTCATTACATTTTCATTACATTTTCATTACATTTTCATTACATTTTCATTACATTTTCATTACATTTTGGTTAATTTTCAATGGGTCATTAGGTATATTCTCTTAGCAGTGCTGGTGTAAAGATAAATCATTTATACATTATACAATTTTAGCTAGTGATTGGTCTTTTCAGGAAAAGTAATTTTTTTACGATTTTTTGGGCATAAATTAATTAAAAAAATAATTTACCTAACAAGTAGTTATCTCGGGTTGCTTCGCAAAAAAATATATTAAATGAGAAAAATAAAAAATCTTCCTAACCTGTTCGGCCTGCAGCCATTTAACATTAAACGATCGCTCACTCACAGGTTAGGTAAATTGGTTGCTTTTTAAAGTTTTTCATTTTATGTATAACTTTTTGCGAATCAACTCATGGTGACTCCAGGCCGCACAGGTTAGGTTTAGTTTTTTTTTTCATTTTGTTATTTTTTTTTTACTAACTCTTTTGATACACACGTTTCGTTCAGGGGCTTCTTTTAATATGATCTATTTCGTGACAGAGCTGGTGTAAGGTATTCACGGCCGTCTTATGTAAGCCCGTCAGAGCTTTATCTGTTGTAAAACATCTATCTGTTGTATATCAACTATTATAATAATCCATATTTTTAGTTTATTTTTATTTCATATGTTATCAACTAGTTTATGACCATAATGATTTTAAAATGGGTATATTAAATATTTAAATACAATGACTCTACACCGTAGTTACAGTGGCACAGGGACAAATACTGCTCCAGAACTTTCCCAGTAATCCAGAAATCAACAGCTACTAGTAAGAGCCTTGGGGCTCCACACAAAAAGATGAAGGGGAAGAAAAAGAGGAAAAGGCCCTCTAATTCCTAGTGCAATCGATCGAATAACACTGGGGCCTTCCTTACATTAAATACGAACGGGTTTCAGCGAAAATAAATCCCTTTACAGGGTCAAAATTCCTCAAGTTAATTTTATTCATTTACTGTAAAATTCTTTTACGGCTGGCTAAGATTACCATTTCACAGTAAATTCAAATTCTTTCAGCTCAAAACTGCCTCCAACGCAAAGTATTTTTCGCGGCATGAACCAACATGAACGTTTATGATAGATTATGTTATTTATACATGTCTGATTGGTCTAAATAATCTGTCATAAACGTTCATGTTGGTTTATGCCGCGAAAAATACCTTATGGTCCAAAAACAAGACTGTTCACACAGCGCTCGGCAAATACAAAAGTAGGCTCCATGAGGACTGCAACACAAAATACATCTAATTGTATACATATGCCGCGTTTGAAAATCCACATCCGATGCATTTTTTACATCTCGAGCGTTTGTTTATCCACATCGGACACATCTGTCCCATTACATTTACGTATACTGAATCACGTGATCAAAGATTTACTACATCTCAGATGCATCCGATGTGGATATTCAAACGCGGCTCTTGTCTAATGGTGATATGAAACGTTACAATCTTAAATATGGAGCCTACATTTTAAACACAATTCAGAAAATCGTTAAAACATATATAAATCAGTAGTTAGTAGTCATTTGTTTGTTTTTTTTATAAACCATATTTTGCCTTTTTTTTTCAAGTAATTCAGGAAATTTTTATTTTGATTTCATGCACTCGCACAACACTTTTCCACTTGGAAAAGTGTGTTTGAACTTGTCCACTTTTCAGACATGTCTGTGGACATTTCCGAGCGACCCATCACTACTTTTAACATTTTAAAAGGGGTACAATTTCCAAATGTGTTAAGTTAATGTTTAGGAGACAACGTGGCTTTAATAAGCTGCATTTTTTGTTTTCATTTACTATAAAATCCAGTTACTGAATATGAATGTACTAACAAGGATATTAAAATATCTTTTTAAATTGCTTTATTGTTATGCTATTTTTGTACCTTACTGTACTTTTTCCTAAAGTAACACAGATAATCCCTCTTTCTGAAAAACTTTAAATGTCGGAGTTTTCATCTGCAGATTTTAAGTTCAGACCACTTTCATTTGAAGATGATCTTCAGTGATTTTAAAGTTGTTATTTAAATTTAATTTTTATTTAAGGGACCATACTAAAAAGCTGTTGACATCACCATCACCTAGAAGTAGTACTGTGATGTTAAATTATCAGCCAAATGTTACAACTGAAAGGACCGAGTCAGAAAGTGGAGCTTCGACAGTTTCAGAAACTCCTGAAATTCCTTTGACCAAAAATATAATGTAAGTTTTCTAATATACATGTTATAAAAATGGCGGAAGCGTTCGCAGTTTGCAGAGTTGTATAAAATTGTTTATTTTTCCAAAATTTGTGATTTTAACATATTAAATTGGAACAAGAGTGCCTTTTTCTTATTGAGCATAGTCTACCTCTGATTTTCCAGTAGAAATGTGGAAGATCCTAATTTTTAGAGCTACTTTACAGTTCTTGCTGCCAGTAAAGTTTCGGTAATTCCTATTGAGCACAAGAGAAATTACTATATGTATTATACTTTTCAATTAATTAATTGCAAAAAGTTCAGTAACTTAGGTTCTTTCGTTCGCTGTTGGTGCAGTGTGCACCAACCTTATTTACGTAGTTTACTTCTTCCATATTCCTTATACGCATGTCGAGTGTAATATCACTGCTAAACGGCTGGTGGAGAAAATATCCACCAGTAGACACCACATCGCCGACAGGAAGATGTAGTGAATTTTACACCGGGCCAAACGAAAGGTTTAGTGTCCTTGGTGTAGTTCATCCCTACATCAGTGGGACGAATATGAAGACTAGGGGACGAACGAAATAATCTATTATATCACTTAAGAGTTACACCAACTTGGTTGGAAGCAGGTTAGCCAATATACAAGCAAATTAGGGAAAACATACTATTTTATAATTAAATAAAACATGTGCCATTGATGGTTCTTTCATGCTTTCATATTCCCATGAATTATTTTACATAACGTAACACAAAACATGTGAAAGGCCAGATATGTAGACTGGCGATTTTTAAACTGATTTGCAGTACTCATTTCAGCCATTTTTCTCAAGAATTGCAGCTATATTACTTGCGGCTATACATTTTCAATTCGTTACTATTTGAAAGGCCGTCAGTACCATTTGTATTTTAACCTTTTTTAATTCTCCTATTCTTAGTTATTATTATATATGCTTATGACTCAAAGTTTACCTGGGTTTTCAAAATTTGTTCCTTTGGCTTGAAATCATAAAGTACTCTGATATGTTCATATGAAATTTAATCGGTTTGATGCAAAATAATTTTTTAGTTTGGAAAATGCAAGCTTTACATCTGCAGAAGATGACAAACAAGATTATCAAGAAGAATTACTGTTAGATTTTCCTGATGAGGAAAGAACTTCAATATTTAAGGTAAGATTAGCTTTTTTTTCCTATATTAGAGCTACTTATTTTAAGGGAAAAATTATTGTCTCTTATTTATTTATTATTAAAATTAAAATCAATTTCACTCAGTACTTTAATGATAACTATCAATTTCATATGGTTTGAATCAGTCTTAAAAAATATTTGTTCTTTTTCCTGATTTTATGGATCACGAGCATCGTAATTTTTTTTTAATCTACTTTAAAATGAATGAGGAACAAGAGTCCTCTGAGGACACCTTTGGCATAGCGTTAAATTAATAATATTTTTTTATTAACATATACCTACATATAAAACATTAACATTAAACTTTTACCAATTGAATTTATTTTCTTTATATCTGAAATCATTCAAATAGTAAAAAGAAATCAAAGAAAATAATTACAAACTCAAATGTGATCAAAATATAAATTAAGAAGAAAAACTGAAAGACTGTCACAGAAAGGCCGAGCGACTGACTTTCCATTTTTCCAATCTCCAATATATACAGCTTTCATTAGAGATCAGAAATAAGAATGTCTATTTCTTGTTGAGGAGTCTTAATCAGGACGAAACCAGTCCACGAATGACGTTCTCTTTAGTAAGCAAAATCATAGCTAGTGTGTTGAAAATAAATTTATCTCTGCTGTTTTTCCTAGATATGAATATCGAGATATACAGTAAGGAGGTAAATTGTGAAACAAAAACGAGGTGAAATTAGAGAGATATGATATTTTTATTATAACGAGATGCACTTGAGACTTAAGATAGAGGGATTTAAATTTTCTAATAGAAAGTAGGGTCATGCGACACCTCATTTGAAATATATTTTCATTATCTTTACGTCCATGCAAACAGATTTAGATATTTTTGTTTTTACAGAAATTAAATAAATTAATGAAGTACGTTACTTTCTTGATAACCCTCGTATTTACTATTATTTTTTATTAATAAGGAAATGCTTTTTACAAATTAAAGAAACACAATATTTACTAAAATAAAGTTTTGGGAGAACATTTAATTCGTTTTAGACCACCTTCTATACTCTTAAATTATTTATTTTCGTAAATATTGTGTTACTTTAATTTGTAAAACGCATTTGTTCAATAAAAAACAATAATAATAAAAAATACGAGGGTTATCAAGAAAGAAAAGTACTTCATTATTTTATTTAATGTAATTTCCATAAAAACAATAAAACCTAAAACTGTTTGCATGGACAAAGATAAAAAAATATTTTACTTCCTCACGGTATAGCCACAGTAGTGTAGTTGTTTTCTTCCTGATGTTTCTGTGACACATTCTGAGTTTTTCTTCTTCATTTAAAAAGAAATAAAGTTACTTTAAATTCTGTTTATTGAATATATACAGTGGCCCAAATTGGGCCTACATGTATGGGCATCTTGAAAACTATAAAATATAGAAAAACGGTTAAAAAGGAAAAATTTTATACGAATATATTTGTAACTTAATGCTTTTTAGTACGCGATTTTATCTTTTTTTTTTTGAGATATTTTAAAAAACCAGTTGCATTTTCTAAATTATGCTGTACCTTTTAAAAATCATTTTTGAAGTAACTTTTTATGTAGATTTCAGTTCTGCCATTGGATTTTGAACACATTTCAGTTATTTTATACCATCATCAGGTTCATTTTTTCTTATGGACGCTATATTGTATGTTATACTTAAAAGGTAGTTTATTTATGTCAGCTTTACAATGATGTATCACTTTTTGGTAAATAAATGAAATTCGCTTAAAAAATCCAGAAAATTAATTTTCACCACACATCAAATTTAACAACAGCACTAGAACTCTCCAAACTTAACGATTAAAAATTTTACATTTTATAATATCACTGTCTGTATTATTTCAAGCAAGAATTCTACGATAAATTTATGAATAAAAAAATCTAGTAGCCTATGACTACCGTTTGAAAATTAAACAAAAATTACTTGTCAAAACAAGTAAAAGTATTTAGGTATTCCAACGACCTGTCCAAATGGCTACCAGTGGGTAATGACAGTTTAGATATGGCAACCCTGTTGTCATCATCAGGGTCAATGGTACATATATAGTTATATAGATTGCTCAAAGCTGGTCGTTTACGAGCGGCCATATTGCCTGGCAAATATTTATTAATTTGAATCAGTTTAGCAAAAGTGTGTTTTAAAACCAATTTTTAGCTTTTAAATATTTAAAAAATAATAATTGCTTATATTTTTACTTCAAAGCATAAGCTTATGTTTATTTTAAAAAATAGGGATGATCAATCTATGTAACTATCTATTACACTCACCTTGTCAAATCACCAGGCCTACAGAGTTGCCATAACTTTGCCACATCATAACCTGTCAAAACCCACTGGTAGTCATTCAGTTTGGAATGCCTAATAGACGTGCCCTGTCGAGCTCCGCAATTCAAACCAGTTTGTTATCAGTTGAAGTGCGTTTAGAAACCTCGCACGGCGCGTCTGACCACATACATTAGAATAGGGTCAAGATGCGCTGTGCAAGGTTTCTAAACGCACTCTTGTTTTCAGTATCTATTGAATTAAAACTGTATCACTGTTTGGTGCTGTGGATTAAATTTTTAATTTGTTATAATGCCTAACCCCGAGGTTCTTACCCTCAAACTGTTAAATACTAAGCTGGAAAAACTCAGTGATATTTTTCAACAAGGTATTGTGGAACTTAGAAGTGAAATGGATGTAAAAAAAGGCTTATCACAATCATTACACTTAAATACAGATGATACGAGTAATTATAGTGATCTTTCCTAAAAACTTAACAATTTTGAGGCTAACATCAAGGACTCTTTAGATAAGTTGAAACATGATATCAATAGTTTAGAAAGTCAAATGGAGGTTCTTAATAAAAATATGGATAATTTTGAAAAGCATAAAAATCAAAATTGCATCGTTCTTGATGGAATTGAAGAAGCTGAACATCAAAATTTAATGGACATTATTATTATTGATATTTTTAATAAAAAAAATATGTGCACCTGTAACTCCAAACGACATTAATCAATGTTATAGAATGGAAACAAAGGACGACAATAATATTAAAAAACTCTTGGTGGTTGTAGAATTCTGCAGACGTTGGTCGCGGGACTGTGTTTGTGCCAATAAAAAAAAAAGGTTCGCCATTTGTGTTATATGAAAAACTAACTGTTAAAGTTCACGGGAAATAAATACTAGTAAAATGTGAGGAAGATGTTCTTAAAAATAGTAAATAGTTTAATTTTATTTAACTTTTATTTAATTTATATCTATTTTTTCGAATAAAGTCGTTTATTATTATTATTAATATTATTAATTATATACTGCGCAGAATCCTTTTGTCAGTGACTGAATTATGATCGTTGTTGAAACAGACCTTAAAAATAACGTTTAAAAAATAGCATTGCGTTTTTTTCAAAAAGAAAAATTTAATATGCTGGAATGTTACATTCGTCCCAACAGAATCTTGCATTAAAAAGATATTTTAAAAATTACCCTGAAAGACAACAGCCAATTAGAAGACTTTTTCCAAAAATTGTTATAAATCTTAATAAACTATGGATGTTTTGAACAACCGCGCGCGGCCCAAGAATTACGAAAAAGAAGATAGCGTGATGAAAATGTGAGTTAATATTTTAATGCCGCTCCGACATCGTCTACAAGAGCGGCGGCAAGAGACTTACCAACCCCGAAAAGTACGACTCAAAGAGTCCTAAAAAAAAGTAAATATCGACCATACAAGCCAACTATTGTTTAGAGTTTGCGAGAAACGGATTATGTGAACCAATACGAACAAAATCCTGGTTTCAGTCGTCATGTAGTTTAGATCGACGAAACACATTTTACCAACTGCGGGGTGTTTAATCGAGACAACAATCATTTTTGGGCTACAAAAAATCCTCACCAATTGACTCAACGAAGACTGCGAACCCGATTTGGCTTTAATGTATGTTGTGTTATGTATGGTAAGTGATTAATTTCACCTTCCATAGAAGGTATTAAGTCAACTTTATGTTTCATCTTACTTTTTAGACAACAGACTTATCGGACCATTCTTTTATAATTATACGTTGAAATTCCAAAAATACTTGGAGTTCTTAGATGGTCAAATTTTACTGGCAATTAGAGTAAAAGTTCCTTAAGATCGACTAAATAATATTTGGTTTCAACAAGACGGATGCCCCACACATAATGTTAGGGCTGTTCAAACTCTCTTAAGACAGACATTTGTTAATAAAGTGTTTTCAAATGGCGGACCAATTAACTGGCCGGCCAGATCGCCCGATGTAACCACCCTAAATTTTTATTTATGGGAGTGAGTAAAAAATGAAGTTTATGAGTTTGAACTTCCTAAAACCGTACAAGAATTAGAAGAGAGGTATGTGTTTGCAAGCATAAATGGCAACACTCTTCGCAGAGTCACCAATACCGTGTTGAAAAAGTATCAAAAATGTATTAATAAAAACGGCAAACATGTAATATAAGTATTAGTATTAGTATGTGTTGCGAAAAATAAATTTTCTTGTTTTTTAAGTCAATTTATTTTATTTACCAATAAGTGATACATCGTTGTAAAGCTACATTTTAAGTATAAAATACAATATAGCGTCTATAAGAAAATATGAACCTGATGATGGTATAAAATGAAACGTCGTACATAAAAAGTTACTTAAAAAATGTTTTTACTGATTGCCAAAATAGAGAACAATAAAAAAGCTACAGCATATTTTCGAAAATGCAACTTTTTGGTTTTTTTCTAATATCTCAAAAATAAAAACACACAGAATCACGTACTAAACGGCTTTAAGTTGCAAATATATTCGTATAAAATTTTTTCCATTTAAACGTCTCTCTATATTCCATAGTTTTCAAGATACCCATACATGTAGTCCCAATTTGGGCGACACTGTATACATTAAGTATGTGTCCATGGTTGCTTTGATAAATACTTTAAGTAAAATACTTAAAGTAAAAAAATACTGATTATTTATTTCAAGTACGTTTTTGTACTGAGTACCTCAGCTCTGTTTATCAATAACTTACAATTACCATTTAGTAATTCCCTATATATTACTATACATATACAATAAGACATAAAATTAAAATATAAAACAATGGACAAGCGTAATTCAAAAGAGCCTTAACGAAGCAAATAAAGCGCTGTTAAAAGCTATTTAATTGATTCAGCCGAATCATATCTTGTTGACTATCCTCTATAAACTATAGATAGACTATAGATACTGTCATAGTTTTTTGGATCCAGCCAAAATTTAAACATTTGACCTATTAATCTTTTTATTTTGAAATTTTTATCTTATAAAACTGAGATATAAAAAAAATCATACATTAATTTAATAAAACCATAAAGTATTCACGTTCCAACAAACAAAGTTATATAAAAAATCAAATTTGCGTTCAATAAAATTATTTAAATTTAAAACATGACGTTTAACGTAAAACATTTCAAAAAGGGGGGAAGTATTGTAGTGCCTACTGTTGCACTAATTACTACCTTTCACCTTAATCATAGTTTCCGAAAATTTATAACTTCCAATCTTTGTGGCAGTCGTGGATGGATAAATATTAAGCTCACTTCACCGTGGCTCCCTGGTTGCCGGGAGAGAGGATATTGAAAATAAAATAAAAAATTATTATGACATTTTTTTGATTTTACAATTATATACATGACGTCATTAATTTCTATTTTACAATAATTATACTTCTGTAAATATATCTTCAAACTGCTTAAATATTTTATTGATGGGATAAACAAATAAAGATCCCACATAAATCAGTGAATTTTCTTTTAGATTCCTGCCACGAACACCCCTGAAGATCTTAAACTATTCGCTAAATTATGTAGAAAAGAGTATTTTCAAGGGAACCAGCACGTAGAAGAAATCATGTACATAGAGAATTTAAGAAGGAGTCAATTGTTACAGCTTTTGGATAAATTTAGGGATGTTTTAATCACTTATGAAACCGAAGATCCGGCAATAGCAATGTTTTCTTGTTCCTCATAGCACATACTGAAATTTTTTTACTGAACTGAAAATTAGTAAATTCGAAAATAAATTCATAGGAATCGAGTCAATGTAATAATAAAAGAAACTAAAACTTTTTGAATAATAAGGTATATTTTTTTATACAATTATGATGTGAATGTGTAATTTAATTTTAAAACACCTTGTTTTCAAGCAACAACTATTGAAAAAGTTTTGGCTTTAACCATAAAAAACACACGTGAGAAAAAAGTTTGAACAATGATTATATTTTTTATTTGTTACATTTTCAATGATGGAAAAAGTAATTCAACTCCATTTTACTGAAAATAAAAAATACCACCGTTAAGTAATTTTGAAACTAATTTAGATCTATAGTTCTTTTTAACATTTCAGGCGTATACGGCATCAATATCATATGAAATAAAGTTCTTCCGGTGGTTATTCACGTACGTACGTACGTCATACTAATATAAATATCAAATAAGTCGAAAAATGTTATATTCTCTATTAAAAACGACATGAATACTATTCCGACCATACAAAATAAAATAAATGAATTTTTAATTGTTTTACTTTATCATTATTCTGTTAGCATATTCCAAGTCTAATCACTGGCCACTGTAAATATTCTAATGCTGAAACGATATTTATGTAACATTTGGGGTACAGTTAGTAAGTATAAAATCATTGTGATGATTGAAAGTAAGTAGAAAGTAAAAATTAACCTTTAAGTCGTTAAGAGTTCCTGTTCTCTCTAAAATTACATCATTGGTTGCATATGGAGGTAATATAGTATTATTGGGTCACTGACTGACTGCGAAAGTTATTTAAAACACCCATCACTATTAAGCAAACTTGAGACGTCATAGTTTGGATGGGTGACCGAGCTAGATCGTGCCACATATGGATATTTGTATTATAGAACTGTTCAAAATTATTTTATGACTATTTTGGAAAATAATCGAATAAAATACTATATCTGATGAATATCCATTGTTTATAAATACTAAGGCTGGTAACTGTGAGCGGTTAACCGGTTCCGTAGGACCAAAAAAACCGTTAAAGTACGTAACCGGTTTGGCCGTAACCGGAACCGGTTTAACCGCAACCGGTGTAACTCTAATCAAACCGGTTAAACCTGTCACTTGTTGAGCCGTAACTGGTTTAACCGTACCCGAAACCGGTTTTAGCGAGACCGTGAACGTAAACGAACAAGTATAGTTTGAGCTCTTAGTAGGAATACGCATATTTCTTAAAACGTCGATACTGACATCGAATGATATTCCAAAAACAAAGTATCGATGTTATTAAAAAAAATAAAACCAACGAAAATTGAAACAACGAACGTCGCGTCGAAAGCCAAATATGAATGTTGTTCAAACATGACGTATCGTGCGCATCCCTAGCTCGTAGTTACGCCTCTCGATATCAGAGGGAGTACAAGCTTCCTGATCTTGGACCATATTTTTATATACTGATTTTTGGAAAGTGCTTTAATATACAGTGGTACATAATATAAAATATTTGTTTTTTATAAATAATCGCATTAATCTCACAATTAATTTGTAGTGTAGACGAAACATTTTTTGAAAACTATTTTACTATTTTATCGTACGTATGTATATTTTATTGTACGTAATATATATGCTCTGTTTTAATTTCATAAAAAATATAATGTACTGGTTTTATCTTTTTTTCGTTCACTGAAAGTAAAAATAGGTAAAAATAAATACTTAAATAAAAAACTTTAATTGCCTACTATTTTTAATGAAACATTTTATTTCACATAAAATACAATCACAAAAAAATAACATCAATTTCTTCTTACAATTTCTTTTATTAAATATTTAAAAAAAAAAACTAACTTTGGTTTAGCACATAACCAAAAATACTCGCCTATCGGGGACAACACTAATCATTTGTAGTGCGCATGTCGTACGCGTTTTATTTGTAGTATTTGTACATCGGTCTCATTTTGACAGAGTAGGTGATCTGTGTTCAGGCCGTTGGTGTTTATGCCGGTCGGCGTAGCCAGGTATGGATCAAAATTTTCTGGTGGCGGCGAAGCCGCCACCCTACGGGAAGTCGTTGCTTCTTCTTGTTGTCACGACATTATTATTATTATTTGTTCATGTATGTGAAATTTATATTTATAAAATACTACTGCTAGTCACGGCGCACACTGGGGCAACAAGCCATCAAAGTTGGCAATAAATCACAGACTCTCTTTATGAATTTGTAAGTTAAATATTGCTTTGTAGAGGTGTTAGTATTACAAATGAAAATACATAGAGGGCTTATAAAGTGTTTGTTTGCTAAAAAAAAAAATAGAAAGTTATTAAGAATATAATATAATAAAAATTTATATTCTATTAAGCCCTCTATGTATTTGCTTTTGTAATACTAACATATAATATAATAAAAATATCATGGACCTAATGAGGCCTAAGTGCCGTGGGGGTAATCCACCCTCCACACGTTAAAGATACAGATAATAAAAATGTAATATTATAATAATTTCATTTAGAAAAGCTATGATAATTGTAATCAAATTTCATCCTCTTTAGAATGTGATAAGAAATTTTCTTCATCGTCTCCACGGTCATCATCAGTGTCATGAATATACCATGGCTATGAAGCTGGACGAGTCCAGATTTAAACAAATCTACTGCCTTTTTAGGAAAGTGCTGCAGGTTCTTTCTTTTTTAATTTTCGTTTGCTCATGATTACAAGGTCGAAACTAAGTAAAAACGAATTAAAGACGTCCTCATTAGTTTTCTCTGTTAATTGGTCTATAGGCAACAAAGCAGAAGATATTATTTCAGGCTCATGTATAAAGTATTTGTGCAATGTCGGAGGCATATTGACCGTGGGTACTTTTCAAAAAAGTATCTAGCGGTGTTGTGAGCAAATTCTATTAATTTCATTCTTTCCAGAACTTCTCATGATATCAAGAAGTTTCTTTCTCGATAAAAACATAGTGTTAAACCTCGTTCCAGAAATAAAATAAAAAATAAATTAAATTGTTATGTGCGAAACACTGTTATGTTTTATTTTTACCGGGTGGGCTATAAAAAACTGTATTTTGTTTTTATTTTCATTTTTTAAATAATAAACCGATTTTACTGTTCTTAGGCTCCATGTTATAGATAACTAACTATGCTCCCAGATCTACCAAAAATAAACTAGCTCTAAATCGACTCATATTTCAATTAGGTTCGCCATCCTGGAATTTAAAATTTCCGCCATTTTAATTTAATGGTCGGAAAGTATATTTACATACCTACCAAATCAGACACATTGAGTCCAAATCGGTCAAAAACTAAAATAGCAGCGTTGCAAAGCATAATGATGTGTTATTATAAGCTTCTATGAAAACATAAAAACTAGACAACTTTGATTGTCTATATCTTACGATTGATAATGGACCAATCGTGCTCGGAGAGGTCTTAAAATAAAGAAAATAGGTTAGATATTTAACTTTTGTTATTAGATTTTATATTTAATTTATAATTATTACGCAAAACGAGCTTAAAATGGGTTACTTTTAGGCTCGTTTTTTTTTCTTCAATTAGGTCGGCCATCTTAAATTTTACATTTCTGGCATTTTGTTATGTCTGTCTGGAAGCATATTTAGTTGCCTATAAAATGAGCCTAAGGACAATAAAATTGATTCATTAATAAACGAAATATATTAAAAAAGACAGAATTCGTTTTTGACGATCGTCCCGCCATATATTTATATACTTTGAAAAAACACAAATAGTGAAGAAAAGTGCAAATAAGTGCACAGAAACTAAACGATTTCGAAAAGTACAAACAATATTCATTATGAAAAGTCGAAATTTAAAGCTTGGACTGCTTTGGAACATAACAAATAGCCTTCATGTATTTAAGAATATTTTAAAATTTTAACGTTTAACCTTCATTTTACTTAACCCCAATATTATAGGATTACGTTTATTTTTCTACAACTTTTTACTTATTAAAATAATAATACATAGCTGAACTTAAAGGCTCGATGACGGAAATTTGAAAATAAAAAATCAAAATACAGCCTAAACACAGCACAAAAACAAGTTAAAAACTACGAAATAACAATGAATATATACTCGCCTCAGATAAGTAACTTCGACTGAGGGTGGTGATGAAACGCGTGAGACAGAAGATCGCACTTGTTCGTTTTATTATGTAGTGGACAGTAATATATCAGAAAAAAATATGAGGTAGAGTGTATATGTTATTTAATTTTTTTTATTTATTGCCAAATTTGAGGGCTTTTTGCCCCAGTGTGCGGCGTAATGAAAACAAACACTTTTTGACAGCTTTTTATAAAGAGTGGGAATACAGTTCTCTTTTTTTATTAAAAGAAATGGCTGCAGCTGTACACCGAACATTATATCCTCCTTTTACTGTAAAATTCTCTTTCCTCCAACAAATTTGGCTACGATTGAATTATATGTCTCTGCAGCGCATTATTAGTCATGTTTAATAATAAACTGGCTGTTTTTAACCAGCCTATTACCAGCAGATAAAATGTCATCCATTAGTCTGCATTCTTCCATTTCTGTTACATAATCTCTGTCGTTTTGTTCTCTTTTACAAAAATATTATTTGAATAATTTCCAAATGTGTGGTAAGAAGAGTTTTTAGTCTGCAGTTAATTACTTCACGTTGTCAATAATATCACTGATATTTTATCTGTGGTAATTTACGGCCGATTTAATTTCCACTCGTAACTTCAAAATCCTATCACTCAAAATTTTTTTTAGTCCTGGACTTACTATTTTGTATTTTGAACTGTATTTTTTTTTCGCAAGGTCGCGCAAATATGTGTAATAATTCCTGAGAAGATGGTTTATGCATTCTACTTTGCGGACCATTGTTCTTCCGTAGGGTCTCTCTAAGCAAATTTTTTGGTAAACACTGCTGTCTCCATCGCCAACAATTTTTACATATTTTAATTTGTGCATTTTTATACTATTACGGAATCCTTTTAAAACCGGTTCCGATTCCATAGAAATCGACGAACCATCTCAATTTTTTTGAACATTTATGAGTTGCAGCTTTTATGTTTTAGTTACAGCTAGGACAATACTTACTTTAAAAAGCAACATACAAAACTTTTCAAGTTTTCGCCCCAATAATGCAAGCCTGTAAAAAATAAGTGCATTTAAAAATAAACCCTTTGTCAAATATAAAAATGTTTCCAAAGTAGACCATGGAAAAATCACGCATGACGGATTCTTTACAATTCTGTCGGTCATGGCTTACTTTAGAAACATTGTTTTTGGATTACACGTTATAATATTAAAATATAAACTTACAACTTCAGATAAAGCGTTATAATTAACTTTATATGACCGCTTAGGCCATGCATCGTCAACAATCACTGCAATTAGACTATTTCCCAGTGGCGGCTCGTGGTTTAATACTTTGGGGGGTGCACAACCTTAGAATAAAAAACTAGCGCCGCAGACGAAATTTTTTGCACATTTCAAGGTCAAATACCTTAGATGAAAAGTAGAAAATTACATAAATAAAAAAAAACTCGTTAAAATGTGGGTTTCCTTAGGTTTCCGTCTAATTGGATTGAAAAAAATTTAACATACAAAAATAGGTAACCAACTAATAATTAGGTAATACATATTATACAAAATGAATATGTAAATTAAATGATCTAATATTGGATTTATTTAAAGAGAAAATCCAAACTTATCAATAACGCTCTGATCGGCTATGCTTTCAATAAGATCCCTTTCTTTAGAAAGCATTGCCAATGCAGAAAGTCTTTCTTGGCACATGGTATTTCTTAAAAATGTTTTAATTCGTTTTAGGGTTGAATAGCACCGTTCTGTTTCAGCAGAAGCCATAGGAATGGTAATTAAAATTTTTATAAGTTTTAGAGTTTCACTAAAAGTTTCACTTAACTCGATATTTTGAGAGATAAAGTCATAAAGCACAAGGAGTCCCGAAACTGATTTAAGTTCTTCTGTATCATAAATGACGGTTAATTCTGTACGGAGTTTTTGCTCGATGAAAAATGGGTAATTTTTTATTGTCTCTTTAAATTTTTCTTCGGGAAAACAGGTACTATATTGGCCATATTCTTCTGGAAAGAAGAGACTGGCTGCGACTAGGTGGCCTGTGAAGCTGAATCGTTCTTTTGCTTGACAAATAATAATATCACAAACTTCTTTTGCTTCTCGTGAAAATTCCGCAGAGTCATCCAGCTTATGCCGCTTTGAATTAGATGAAGTCGGCTCAACGTCATCTAAAGTGATGCTATTTCTAATCTCTGTTAATTTAGTTTCAAATGATAATATAAATTTTTTTGCGATAACACAGTGTCAATTTGTCTTGTTTGAAACTTACCAAATAACAAGTCAACATGTGGCATTATCTTGTAAAATAAGTTTAACCAGGACACAAAACTTTTGCTTTTAAGGATTTTGACATATCCTGATGCTTGGTTGGTAGTACTTACGTTTCTACTTTCATTTAGAAGAGTTTCCATTGTCTCCAGAATGCCGTCTTTGTACTCAAATACGGTACAAACCACTCTGGAATTAAAATTCCATCTGGTCTGGGCTGAATAACGTGGTAAGCGTTTTTTAACGATTTGATCTAGAATTGCAGATCTCTGAGGACTACTTGAAAAAAAAGTACAAATTCCTTGTAAATTTGCAAAAAAAATTCGGACATTTTTGTTTGCTGAAGCCGAGTTTAACATTACCAAATTTAATTGATGTGCATAACAATGCACGTATGCAGCGTGTTCATACGTTTTTTTAATAATCGCTTGTACCCCGTTAGAAGACCCGCTCATAACTGATGCACCATCATATGTTTATGCAATAAGTTTGCTTCTCTTGTCTTTCACATGCTTTTCAAGTTCGGTGAGAATAACCGTAGATAAAGCTTTGGCATCATGATCTGAAGACATTAAAAAATCCCAAAATCGTTCAACTGGCTTGCCTTTTAAAATGTATCTAAATACAATTGCCATTTGGAATTTATTTGATACGTCACTAGTTTCATCAGCAATTATAGATAAATAATCGGCATTTTCTATTTCCTTAGAAATTTCCTCTTGGCATACAGTAAACATTGTAAAATTTCATTTTGAATGGTTTTTGACGTACCTTTAAATACCGATGCTTTTTCTAGATGCTGTTTTAGAGCACCGTCTAACTCGGAACTAAAATCAATTAATCCTCGAAAAACCCCGGGATTAGAGGAAGACGTAGACTCATGTCCTCTTAATGCGAGCTCGAAAGCTCCACAGACACGCACACAATTAATTATTATGTTTAAAATGTATCGATTATGTCTCACTTGTTCATTGTGCAATTCAATATTTCGTCGATAAGCGGTACTCAATTGAGCAGCCACGGTTACAGTTCCAAAAAGTGAATATTGTAAAACATTTTTAATGTGCTTTGCTGACGATGTATGCTTTTTGATGCGGTCCCCAGAATGATTCAAGTCGGTAAACCCTATTTTTGTCCAGGAATCTTCTCCTCCGAATAACAAACAAGGGAAACAATAAAGAGCATTTTTAATTTCACACCCACAAAGCCATGTATGTTTATTATAAAGCTCCGGGTTAAATGTTCTGGTAAAAGTCCTTTTTTTGCTAGACACAGATTGTTCTATTTTTAAATTCGGAGTAGGCCTACCAAGTCTTTTTACTTCAGCCTTATCAATTAATGATCGACCACAGAATGGGTTTGAAATTAAACTTTCAACCGAATTCATTTTTACACACAAAACAATCGAAAAAAGCGATTACGCACCACACTATAAACTAAGGGTGAGATTACAGAACGTCTGCAACTTTGCAGATCTGCAAATATGGCGGCAACTTTGAAAATCTGCAAATATGACTGACTTACACATGCAAGTATCAAGTTTTCGTATTCCAAATTTGGATTTAGTGTTGTTGGGGGTAATAAACCACAATAAATATTGCAAATTTGCAGATATTTTTTGGAATACTTACATTTGTAAGTCCGCCATATTTGCAAAGTTGCAGACGTTCTGTAATCTCACCCTAAAATCACTATTTAGCGGGCGAAATTAACAAGAAGTTTGCAACCTAACTGAGCTTACGGGACGGAATTTGAAATCAACGCGTAGTAACACAAACACGCGCTTATTAATATAGCCGGATTGGTTTGCATTCGATCTGCAAACTACATCGCAACGACAAAGCCGTCGCGTGGCGAGAAAATTAAAGACATTTAGGAAAAGGTGGTGAAATTGAAATTATTTCAGTCTGACTGCTCCTCGCATATAAATGTAGGTACAGAATTTTGGTATGAATTTAAAAAAAATATAATTGTAGTTCTTTTTTTATTTTACCAAAATTTTTTGGGGGTTGCGCAAACCTGCAAACCTAAGGAAGAGCCGCCACTGCTATTTCCTTGTTCATTTACTTCTACTTTTGCTAATTGCAATTCTTCCAGTCCGGCTTGTTCCATGGCCTTCCAAGTTGCTTCAAAAATACTTTTACTTGCCAACTCATTATGAGCTGAGTATTGTCGAAACGACAATGTGGGGTGTTAGTATATTAGGATTTGAAATTAGCAAAATAATAAATGTTACTTTTATAATATTTCCAATAAATTAAAAATTAGTATAATCTGTTCTTAGAAATATTTTGAAAATTGTCCATTGTTTTCGACTCGAGATATTTCTCAAAATATTTATGAATTCTGATATAATTTGGAAATTAATCAATAAAAATCATTCGCATATCAATCAAATTATATATTTTTTTCTTTAGTAAAATGTATAATAAAAATGTCTAACCTTTTGCTAGTAACTGCACGACTTTTCTTTCATACTTAGTTACACAACACGTACAAAAAAAATAAAAAATATATTATACTAAATTTTTACAATCAAAAGAGCGAGTCACTTTATATTTGCTAATCCAGTTCGAAATAAAAATATTGGAAAACGGTTTACTACAAAACTCAATTAGTTTTTGATTTTAGCAAAAACTTGTAAATGAAAAAAAAATAGAAAAAATCAGCTACAAACTCCAGTTTTCCAAAAATTGATATCTGCAAATTGATAAAATTTAATTTTCCTTTTTAATTTTTATTTAAAAAAACGAGTGATATAACAAATATTTGTTTAATTTGTAATAGATATATGATTATACTTTACCTAAAAATAGCACTTCTATGCTTACATAGTAATTATAAACATCTTTTAAATTTAATTTTAACAAACAACAAAAATTTTGATGAAACAATGCAAAATGAAAATTGCATTGTAATAATTATTAGCTATTTTATTTTTATATTTTAAAATACTTTTTTACTTGTTACCTTTTTTTTTTTTTTTTTAATAAAGCTACTATTTCGCAAGAGAAGACCGAGACCGACTTCAAAACGCGAACGAGACCGAACACAGTCTCTTCACGTCTGAACACATGTAATTATATGAAACACATTTCGGAAGACGAGACGGAAGACAGCCATGGTATGGCAATATTTGTCGCCTTACGCTGTCGTCTGTCGCGCGTTCCCAAATGGTAGCTTAAAAGTTATTTTTTAAATCAACAGTTATATAATTTTATGATAATGGACTACCTATTCGAAAGGTGCATCTATAAGTAAGTTCTTTTGTAAGCTCTTAATAAAGCGTTTGTAGGAGTGTGGTAAATAATATATTAGATGTTCTTTTTATAGCACAATCATTGCTAATTGCTTTGCTCATAAATGGGCGAAACACTTTTTTTTTATTAAATTTATTACTTGGAAATATTGAAATTTTTATATATTTATCTATAACTCTAATTCTTACCGATAAAAAAAAACAAAAATTGTAGTGTTTATGAAAAAAATCTATTAAAAAACAATCCACTAATATCTATACCTATTATAATAAAACCTATAAACAATCAATATATCACTTTTTTTCTTCAATAATACTGTTTGAAATTTTAAGCTTCACAAGCGGTTCCTTTAATGGCTTCGTCCACTGACATTTTCAAAATTCTATAATTTATTTCATTAGGATCTAACTGTCGGTAAATGAAGACGGGCATTCTGTCTGATAGAATCCAAATGTTTCTTTCAGCGTCAATCTAAAACATATAAAACAAATTATGTCATAACAATTTGTCACAAAGAATTCAAGAAAATTGCATATATTCGAAAATTATCCGCGATTCAAGCTAAGTGATACGCCCTCGGAAAGGAAAAGGTGTCTATAAGTAGGACTTTTTTCAGAGTTGCCAGCAGTAGCGGAATTTCGCTACAGCAGCTGATTTTTAACCCTTGAAGAAGTGGAAATACATTTTTCTAAGTAACGAAATGCGAAAGTTTGGATGGATGTTTGTTGCTCAATCACGCAAGAACGGCCGAACGGATCTAGATTAAATTTGGCACAAATTTATTTTTGGTCTGGAATAGCACATAGGCTACTTTTTATCCCGAAAAAATGTACGGTTCCCGTGGGATCGGTTTGTTTTTGTTTTTCACAGAGCAAGGGATCGGACATATTTTTTTTAGATAGTGGTAGTAAAACATGAAAATTTGAAATACTGCTACTGAGCATAAATAAATAATGACGTGTTTCAGGGTTTTTGGTTTTTTACATTTTAAATGGGGGAAACGGGGGTTAAAAGTTTGCATGGAAGTATCGATTTTTTATAGATAGGAACTTGAAAATTGGTATTATAGCTACTCAACACAAATAAAAAATGGTGTGTTTCAGGTTTTTGGATTTTCATATTTTAAGAGGGCAAATGGGGGTAAGAGGGGAAATGAAGGAAAATGGGAAAATGGGGGAAATGTGTGGGGAGTGAAAGTATGTATGGTAGGAACTTGAAAATTGGAATTGTAGGTACTCTTCATAAATAAATAGACATGTTCAAAGTATTTGGATTTTGAAGTGTTTCAGGGTTTTTGGTTTTTCACATTTTAAGGGGGGAAAACGGGGGTTAAAAGTTTGCGAGGAAGCATCAATTTTTTTATGGGTAGGAACTTGAAAATTGGAATTATAGCTACTCATCACAAATAAATAATGGTGTGTTTCAGGTTTTTGGATTTTCATATTTTAAGAGAGGAAAGAGGGAAAATGGGGGTAAGAGGCGAAATGAGGAAAAGAAGGAAAATGGGGGCAATTTGACAAATGGCTGAATTGTATAGGGAGTGAAAGTTTGTATGGTAACAACTTGAAAATTGGAATTGTAGGTACTCTTCATAAATAAATAAACATGTTTCAAAGTATTTGGATTTTACATATTAAGGGAGGAAACGGAAGGTGAAAGTTTCGGTTTTTTTTATTTGTAGAAATTTGAAAATTAATAAGTAAATAATGACGTATTTCAAGGTTTTTGGATTTTCACATTTAAGGTAGGAAGGAAAATATCGTACAAATAAAAAAAATATATAAAAATAAATAAAAAATAATAAAAAATAATAAAAATAAATAAAAATAAATAAAAATAAATAAAAATAAATAAAAATAAATAAAAATAAATAAAAATAAATAAAAATAAATAAAAATAAATAAAAATAAATAAAAATAAATAAATAAAAATAAATAAAAATAAATAAAAATAAATAAAAATAAATAAAAATAAATAAAAATAAATAAAAATAAATAAAAATAAATAAAAATAAATAAAAATAAATAAAAATAAATAAAAATAAATAAAAATAAATAAAAATAAATAAAAATAAATAAAAATAAATAAAAATAAATAAAAATAAATAAAAATAAATAAAAATAAATAAAAATAAATAAAAATAAATAAAAATAAATAAAAATAAATAAAAATAAATAAAAATAAATAAAAATAAATAAAAATAAATAAAAATAAATAAAAATAAATAAAAATAAATAAAAATAAATAAAAATAAATAAAAATAAATAAATAAAAATAAATAAAAATAAATAAAAATAAATAAAAATAAATAAAAATAAATAAAAATAAATAAAAATAAATAAAAATAAATAAAAATAAATAAAAATAAATAAAAATAAATAAAAATAAATAAAAATAAATAAAAATAAATAAAAATAAATAAAAATAAATAAAAATAAATAAAAATAAATAAAAATAAATAAAAATAAATAAAAATAAATAAAAATAAATAAAAATAAATAAAAATAAATAAAAATAAATAAAAATAAATAAAAATAAATAAAAATAAATAAAAATAAATAAAAATAAATAAAAATAAATAAAAATAAATAAATAAAAATAAATAAAAATAAATAAAAATAAATAAAAATAAATAAAAATAAATAAAAATAAATAAAAATAAATAAAAATAAATAAAAATAAATAAAAATAAATAAAAATAAATAAAAATAAATAAAAATAAATAAAAATAAATAAAAATAAATAAAAATAAATAAAAATAAATAAAAATAAATAAAAATAAATAAAAATAAATAAAAATAAATAAAAATAAATAAAAATAAATAAAAATAAATAAAAATAAATAAAAATAAATAAAAATAAATAAAAATAAATAAAAATAAATAAAAATAAATAAAAATAAATAAAAATAAATAAAAATAAATAAAAATAAATAAAAATAAATAAAAATAAATAAAAATAAATAAAAATAAATAAAAATAAATAAAAATAAATAAAAATAAATAAAAATAAATAAAAATAAATAAAAATAAATAAAAATAAATAAAAATAAATAAAAATAAATAAAAATAAATAAAAATAAATAAAAATAAATAAAAATAAATAAAAATAAATAAAAATAAATAAAAATAAATAAAAATAAATAAAAATAAATAAAAATAAATAAAAATAAATAAAAATAAATAAAAATAAATAAAAATAAATAAAAATAAATAAAAATAAATAAAAATAAATAAAAATAAATAAAAATAAATAAAAATAAATAAAAATAAATAAAAATAAATAAAAATAAATAAAAATAAATAAAAATAAATAAAAATAAATAAAAATAAATAAAAATAAATAAAAATAAATAAAAATAAATAAAAATAAATAAAAATAAATAAAAATAAATAAAAATAAATAAAAATAAATAAAAATAAATAAAAATAAATAAAAATAAATAAAAATAAATAAAAATAAATAAAAATAAATAAAAATAAATAAAAATTAATAAAAATTAATAAAAATTAATAAAAATTAATAAAAATTAATAAAAATTAATAAAAATTAATAAAAATTAATAAAAATTAATAAAAAATAATAAAAATTAATAAAAATTAATAAAAATTAATAAAAATTAATAAAAATTAATAAAAATTAATAAAAATTAATAAAAATTAATAAAAATTAATAAAAATTAATAAAAATTAATAAAAATTAATAAAAATTAATAAAAATTAATAAAAATTAATAAAAATTAATAAAAATTAATAAAAATTAATAAAAATTAATAAAAATTAATAAAAATTAATAAAAATTAATAAAAATTAATAAAAATTAAATTAATAAAAATTAAATTAATAAAAATTAAATTAATAAAAATTAATAAAAATTAATAAAAAAACCATGCAATTTAATTAAAAATCCACATGGTCTGGTCTGGGATTCGAAGCCCAGCAGTCTCGGACTCATAAACTTGCCTATAAATGAATATAAGCGCGTTAGACCGCTTACCCATCGACCCGATAAACAAATATGACTGTGTTAACGTTTGCACTTCCAACTCAAAACGGCGTCGTTACTTAAGTTTATTTCATCATTTTCCAAAGAAGGCGATAACCGTAAAGTACTTAAAACATACAAGTACTAGAAATTAAAAATTTAAAAAAGCCGACTCCAAAAACGTGCAGATGCCGTCACCGACAAGGTGGTAAAGCATTATCGCTAAACATACATACAAAATGAAGAGTTTGAGGATTTTCTCACGGACCCAATTATTATATTTTGACCAAATTTATATGGGACCACCCCTGAAGTACCCCCTTTCTAACAAAAAAGAATTATTGAAATCGGACACCGTGTTGAAGAATTATCGCTGAACATACATAAAAAAAAAATATTGCGACGAATTGAGAACCTCCTCCTTTTTTGAAGTCTGTTAAAAATCGGCAATTATAAGAGAATCTATATGTAAAAACAGATGATTTTTTATTCTGAAAATCGGAAAAAACCTACCTCAATGCTAGTGTGTTCTTGCATTTCGTAGAAGAAGATTTTTGTTCATGTAAAGATAAGTTGTTTATATGAAGTGTTTTAATCTTGTTGAATTCATTATAATGATATAATATACTTAAAAACAGTTAAAAAAATCACAAATACAAAAGCGAGCCCAAAATTTACACAATGCAAATAAACAAAAATCCTACCTATAGATGACAAATGACAGGCGTGCGAACATTAATTTGAATCGCGACCGGTCGCTGTAATTAATAAATTTTTTTGGTAATGATATTAAATTTATAATGTCAACAGAGGAAAAAGACGTATTTATTTTTAAATTTATTATTTGCAAGCTAATTTTATTAGTAATTAATTATGAAATAAAATACGGGGTGTTTCGGAAAGGTGACAAAGAAATTATAAAAAAATCCGTTTTTGTTAAATTTTGGAAATTGATTTAGAATAGCAGTTTAAATACCATCAAAGCTCATTGTATTATCGTAAATCATTTTCGATTTTTTATAATTTTTTGTCAACGTGTAATTCTGAAATTACCCATTTCCGGGCACGTTTATACAGGGTGAAACAAAAATTAAAAAAATTGTGCCACTTGGCAATACAAAGCGTTTACAATAATAATTTAAACTTGACTCAATATAAAATAAAAAATTTGTGCAGCTTCATGTTTAACTTAAAATATCTCGAAAATTACTAACTTTATCACTATAAAAATAAGAGTATGATATTTACGTATAGTATCTACACTTCCCGCCAAATATGACAATAATACGTCAAACAATTTTAAAGTACTGGACAGAAATAATTTTAAAATTTTTAATCTCAGAATGGAGACACTTTTTATCTAGGTGATTTGGGTTAAATTTTCATAATTTAAGCTCAGGATTCTATAGTTGAAATATTTCCAATTAGTAATGAATCACCTTGTATAAGATTTTTTGCTTATTTCAGAACACGTCCTTAAAATACTTTCATTTTCTCGCGAAACGCCCCGTATATTCTCATTTATTAGGTATACTCACGGAAATGTCGTTGGTAAAGATGAGTTTTTCATGATCTTGTGCTACTAGAACAAAATTGTTCGCCTCAAGTCTAGTTCTTGGATTCCAACAAGCAATACCATCTCTTTGTAGTTGTGTCATGAAGAGAACATTGGTTTTTTCGTCGAAACTCGAAGACGATGCTTGGCCTTTATCCCCTTTGTGGCCTTCCAACTAAAAAGAATGCACATTATTACCTATGTGATTATACATATTCAACCATTTCCATAACATAACATAACATAACATGTATTTTTCGTTTAAATTATAAATTAAATGTGAATTGGAGATCATTCTTGGAAAACTTTGACAAATTATGGTGAATTCCGATTTAAACCTTTACTTTCTTAATTTTTGGAACTGTTTTATCATATAGGGTATTTTCAAAACAGTTAATTTCAATATATTTTTTATATATACTTTTATATAACTGCGTCCGAAACTTGAAACTCTTATAAAACTAAATAACCTTCTACCAATTCCCATTGGAAGAATAAATAGTATCTGGGGATATTTACTGCAATATGTAGATCTATAGGTACATTGATTTGTAATTATGGAAACTTACCTTGTATAATTCAAACGAGTGTGAGTCCGTTGCCAAAGATTCATTCCTCAGAACTTGAGTACTAACAGAAAATTCGTTGCAGCTAGCTAAGGCATGGAAATAGGCCGTACGGAAACTATAACATATAATTTTATTATTTAAGTAAGACTTGAATGATAGTATAGTCTAAGGCCTATTATGTTGATACAAAATCTAATAGATAAAAAAACATTCAAACAAAATATCTTGCTCATATTGGATAAGGCGTGTTATTGTCTTTCTATGGAGGTGTTCGGGAAGTTCGGTCTTTGTTGTTTCGTTGTCATGGTATTTTAATAATTCCCACAGGTATCTTCCCATCTATTTCTAAAATTGCCAAAAGAATCATGGGTGCCTTTCAAAAAATTTACCCTGCCTACAAGTCTTATAGGCAGGGTCAAAACGCCACTGGCTATAGTCGAAAGCCATGGTGAAAAAATGAAAAAATCGCAAATCCAGGGAGACGGGGGTTGGTGGCAGACGCCCACCCTTGCCCTCGTATGGCGGCGCCCATGATGAGAGTGTTGTGTGATCAATTCTGTTACTGCTGATGTCATTCCTATAGCACGTCTTTGGTTTCCTTCATGATAATCGAGAGAAAGAGAAGCAGTGGAGAAAATTGTGAAGAAATCGTGAAGGTCCCACGACAAAAAAACTGCAAATAATCTTTAAAATGTTTCATTTCTTACCCATTCTCGTTAATCGGTCCAAGAGCAATTCCAAATACACCGTCGGTCCATTGGAAGTTGACTCCTCCAACTGTCATATCTCCCTTTAGAGGATCGAAGTGGAAATAGTTGTGTTTAACCCTCCAAGATTTGTCTTCAGCAAAAGAATAGACGACAATACCATAACCTCCTAAATCAGGGACGTATGCAAATGCATTGTCGCAGGTGTCTTTGGTAACATCAACGATCTGAAAAATAATAATTTACGCATGTAAATTTGATAGGATTCCTAAAATGTAAATCAGAGAGGCGGGCATATACCTATAAGAAATCCATGAATGATACTTAAGGTACCATTTGGGAACGCGAGACCGAGGGACGAGACAGAGGCAAACGACCGCGTAAGGTGATCGAAAAGGTTCTCTTACAGGGTAGCTATTCACTAAGTCATGGGAGCGCTCCCATGGGAGTGTTCCCATATATTTTGCTCTCTTACTCTTAGGTGGGTATATCGTGCTTACTCCGACCTAACTACGCATGTACCTGGGCTAAAAGTGAGTAAGCACGATATACCCACCTAAGAGTAAGAGAGCAAAATATATGAGAACACTCCCATGGGAGCGCTCCCATGACAGTGAATAGTTATCCAGAACAAAAAATAACCAGATTTGTTGAATGAAAATAATAATAATATAGATATTTGTTTAAATATAGAATTCGTTATACTAATTATTGGTTTTAATTTATCTTATTACCGCATTGAGTAGGTACTGTAATGAATTCAAGAAGCACACGTGCGGTAATCCTCTTTATGACATTCAATTGTCAAACTAGAGTCATTACTTGACAGTTGTAAATAAATAGCATATTGTACTACGAGTTTGGAAAGTGAAATTTTTCACAAGAGTAGGAAAAATCACTTTTAGACAAGTGATGTACAATATTTTTCCTACGACCACAAAATGATTTTATCAAAAAATGTAAAACCAGTAAATCTGAATATAGAGGTTCAATCAAGATGTGGCTGTTTCTAGATTTGTTTTTATATGCCTCATTGGTTTTGAGTATTTTTTAAAGTGCTTTGCGAATGGTGTTTGTCGAAATTTAAAAAATTGTACTTCCGCATTTACAAATACTTTCATAAGTAAAATAATATTAGGTACCTACAAAAAATATTAGAATACAATAATGTTTTTCTTTTCATTAGTTTAGTTTATTTTTAATTACAACAAATAACAAGATGAGCAGCTGTGAACAAAAACTTTTCTATTATTAAAGATTGATACCTACTTACAATTTTTTTCTGAACAATTATTAAAATAGTACAAAATAAATAGCTAACGAATTACTTAACTGTATGGGATATATTATAATAAATAAAATGTATTTAAAATAAATAAACAACTTTTTAAATTTGATTATTCTTCCAAAATAAAAAATAAGTTTGCTTTTATCGGGAAGTGAATCCATGTCGCGATATCCATAGTTGATATAGTTAAACATTTAACGATCTGAGCCATGAAGACTTATGTCAAGTAAATTATCCAATCAAATATGTATATCAAGCAGAACAAGTAAATGCTACTTTAAAATTATTTTAAATTGTTAAAATAAATATCTAGAATCTAGGTATAAAAACCAAAGTTAACAATTTATTCATCAAATCGATTTTACTATTAATATAGACATTACATAAATCATAATAGAGATTATGAATTTGACATATTTGACAGCTGATGCGGAAAGTAGATTTTTATTCATATATGGGCGGAAAGTACTAAATTTTTATTAACACGCTTGAGTGCAATATGTCATTTTCCTAAGTGATCGTAAGAAAATAATTTTTTTCTACACCCACATGGATATTAGCTTATCTACGCACAGACTACAAAACGAAAAAGTATACTATTGCCATTAACTGAACGAATATATTTTATATTCATTCTATGTAGTACTGACAATACTGCAAAAAATTAAATCCACCAATCACAGTTCATATTTTGGTCAAACTAGTTGTCAGTATATTTTTTAGTTATTGAACTTAAATATACATTAAAATGACTTATTTTTGTGTAGAATCGATAAATAATAGCATTTCTATTTTTATTTATACTATAATTATAAATAATTTGTTAATTTTAATAAGGTGAGAGTATCTGCCTTCCACGCAAGAGACCCAAGTACGAGCTTAGGCTGGGGACTTTTAAATTAAATCTTTTTTTTTTTCGTTTATTTTATTTTAAAAATTATTAAAAGTTATAAATTATTTTAAAATTAGATATTTTGTCTTAATAACCTAAAATATTTTTTTTATTTGTAAATTTTCATTAGTGGGCAATAGAAAAAATATACTGTACAACTCGAGTGGATTGTTCACATATGGCCATAATATCCACTCTTGTTGCACAAACTTATAATCATCCATTTACAGTCAAATCGGGTAACTTTGAACCACTGGGGCAACATTAGACCAGACCATGAATTTTATTTACTGTTATCCTCTAAAAAGGAAAGATATCCTAATATTTACAATAGGACCCATAGGGGGCGTCCATTAATTATGTGAGGTATTTTTGAGGATTTTTTGACCCCCTAGTGAGATTTCGTAAGATTTTCCTCAATTCCCTCCACCCTCCGAATATATCATGTGAGATTTTTTAAAATTTGTGTTTTGGGTGTAAATGCGTTGAATTTTTAAAAAGAAACAAATATAATATATTCTATTACTTTTATTTAAGACTAGCAAAGACTAGTATTTGAGAATATTGCCGTAATATAAAATTTCTAGAAACATTCTTTACTTTAATTTAACTTTCACGCAATTTTACACCATTTTCTACTAGAAAAAAAAATTACGTCAGATTTACAAAGACCCCCTCTCCTCAAAGTGAGATTTGGAAAGATTTAGCTTGAACACCTCACGTAATTAATGGACGCCCTCACAGCTAATTATAACTTCAACCTTGTTTGTAAAAAAAATAGAAACTTAAATACAAATTAATTATAACTAATAACTGACCTGGGATCTCTACATTAAAACTAATATGGTTTAATCTTACCCGTAGCCTTTAAATTGTAAGAAATCAGTAATATCTCAATGAAAATACTTTGGTCAATGTTACCCCAAATCCAATTTAACTTTGGACCACACCCAAAAATATATCTTTTTTATATTTACAATAAATTTTAATTTTTCTTAATTTAAAATTCATATAGATCATTTTACATGAACACCAGTAGGTGCATCATTCAATATAATTGTGCAACAATAACAAATAAATTCAGATTTATAATAAAAACCTGGTCCAAAGTTATCCGACTGTACAACTGTTATTGTATTATATTTTTAACTGATAATTAGAGGAAATGAACTCATTGTTTGTTTTTTTCTTGTTTTTTCTTGTTTTTTCTTGTTTTTTCTTGTTTTTTCTTGTTTTCACTTGTTTTTTCTTATTTTTTCTTGTTTTTTCTTGTTTTTTCTTGTTTTTTTTCTTGTTTTTACTTGTTTTTCTTATTTACGAGTGCAAAATAATTGAGTTTCATAAAATAATATCGTTATCTTTGCAGATTATATATTTTTCATTTTGCACATTGCTTTAAAAATTTTTCAAATTTTACTTTTTAACTCGTCAAATTTCTCTTTTATGAAACATAAATTTACTAAAATTGGCAAACTGCAAAGTGAATTTAGAAGAGTTAAAGGTAATAAACATCTTACAACTAGCGCCCTCTATGAGGTAGGTGATATTTAGGCTCAAATTTTGAGTTATCCTTAAAAAACCCCAGTGTACCAATTTTAAGCCATCTTCTTAATATAACGACGAAAATATAACGAAAAACGTATTTTTTTAAATTAACTTTGTCACCCAGTATATTGAACATGATGGCCCCAATGGAAAAAAAATAATTGAGGTTTCTTACACTGACCTAAGGACTCTATAATTAACAGATTGGTTTACTGTTTTGGGACACCCTGTATATCTTAAGTGTCTTTGAAAAGTAGCCCACCTCCACCCTGAATACTAGACCACGAACCGCCACTGACACAATTACAAGTAACAGTTGCAACAAAAATGAAAAAACATAACATTTCTAGATTATCACAAAATATTACACTTATTTACTGGAAGACGAGTCCTAATTTATTTCCAAATTATACTTATTAATTGCCTTTTAAATGCATATATGCTGCCTACCCACATAACATCAATGTTCTATGAATATACCAAGAACGTTCTGTTTAAGTTCTTTTTAGTATACCTATCCTTTTATAATATTCTTAGAACATACCTAGAATATACTTTGAAAGTATATTCTAGAAAGTATATACTGAGTACGTGCCTTAAAATTATAATCCAAAAAGTATATACTGAGCACGTGCTATAACAGGACATTCTTAGAAGATACTAAAAGTCATATACCTTATATTCTGAGAATGTTCTAAATGCTTGCAGGTAAAAATTAACACCAAATACATGTAAAAACAAGTTTATATACATATCTATATAAATTTTTCCCAGATGCCGATCTAATAATTCGCTACCAAACGCACTAATGTTGAATGTTTAGGCCAAAGAACATTCTCAAACTAAAATAGAAGAAAAGAAGAAGAATAACATAACCTACAATTCCTACAAATTTTTTTGATCTCGTAAGAGGTAAGTCAATTAAGAAAAATTAATTGCATCGTATGTTCTATATGAAAATAAACAAATTTTACTATATTTATAGTTTTTAGGACCTATAAGTGACATTAGAATACAGTATGTCCCAAATATTAATTGCCAGTGTGAATTTATTAATATAGTTAATACTAATGGTGGATTGAAACTAAAATACAGTGTTAAGTGTTACCAGAATTATAGAGAAAGTAAAAGTTGAAAAGTCTTTTGGTAGGTAGAGAGGGGGTAAACGTCAAACCACGTCGGGCGGCTCCGAGAATTTCACAGTAATGTTTACCTGCCAGTGTCGTTTCATAGAATAAGTAATTTTAAATTGTTATCGGCGGAACCGGACAATCGCATGTATTTATGGATTATAAATAATTATTAAACATGTATTATAATATTCAAATTATAATTTTACAAAATTTCAACAGCTATTCACAATTTATTAAACTATTTACTCGAAATTGTTATTAACATCTATAAAATAATTTTGTACGCCAATGTATCGTGTCCACTTCGGTGAGATCCGCTGACAACCTGTCAATTTATGTGTATAAAGTGGGAGAACTGGCAAAAGCATTTCCAACTTTTACTTCTGTTCTACACACACTTTCTATGAAAAAAATCCTGTAAGGCCAGATATTGACCTGGAAGAACTAGAAAAGTTAGCTAAAGGAGGACGAAAACTACAAAATGGTGGTAAGTAATTAACAAAAATATATTTAAACTTTCAGTAAACATCATAATCATTTATGTAACTCTTGTTTTTGTTAGTGGAATGCCATGTACAATTTTTAATGTTTTATGTTCAACAAAAATATATTTTTTTTTTTAATGGCACTGGATAAAACCAAAAGGCCAGACTATTGTAGTAATCCATAATTCTTTAATTGTTTTATCCACTATTGTTACATGATTACATTATTATTATTATATTTTGACTTACAGCTATCAAAATACCTGAGTTTGTAATTAATTATAAAAAATATCTATTTTTTATTATATGTATTTTTGATTATTTTTTTTTTTGTATTATTTTGTTTTTATTTTTTTTGTTTTGTATTATTTTTTTTTCCTTGGTTTCATTTTTTTGTTTTATCATTTATTTTATTTTTTCGTTTCAGGTTTACAATATTTTTAGGGTAGCTCAGCTACTTACAATCTTGTATTAGTTTTTTTAACAAATTCATAAAGTATTTAAAATATTCCATTAGCTATGTACACTTAATTTGTATTTATACCAAGTTTGTTAATTTTTTTTATTTTTTAGGTTCAATGAAGATCCAATGGAATCAAGCAAATGAAACTCAATCCATTGATACAATAAAATATTGATTGGTTAAGGCTAAAGATAGTATTTGTAATAAAAATAAGTATGAATTCTTTGAAATTTTAGACTCATTATATACACTTATTCTTTAATGTTCAATACTAATTAAACATCCTGTATTAAGGTGCCTAGCATATGCTATATTTAAATACTTAGTACATCCATAGAACATACTATCAAATTAAAGTAGATACCTGTTGCATACTGTACACATACTTGAAGTACATTCTCAGTATCTGCATAGCACGTATAAACAACGTCATGTAGCATATGCTTAGCATATTCTGAGAATGTACCAAATGCAAATACAGTATATTCTTAGCATATGCGTATTCTTAAAAAGTATATACTAAGAATATGCTAAGAATGTATAATTGTTATCTGGGTATATTAAACAATTCGATTTAATGTTTGTTCAATACAGTAAGCATTCTTTAAAAAGGTGAGTACTGCCCATAATTTGAATGGTGAAAAGATATAATAAATTTATTTTGATTCTTTAGTGTTGAGAACAGTAAAATTAACTTTACATAAAAGTTCTGGGCTTAAGGTAATTTTATTTACCAGCTTATATAAAAAACATCGAGTTTTTAAAGTAACCATGTTGAGTCTTTGTAAAAAAATACAAATAATCTCCATTTACATGTCGGATTTGTATGCATAGTGCAGCCGACAGCAAAAGCACGTAGCGGCCCGTCTATTTCCGCCTTTACAGGCGAGAAAAAAAACTGAAAAACCAAGCATTACTTATGAAAATAAATAAATAATTCACCTCGAGGCCAAAACAAATAACATTTAATTAATTTGTTTGAAATTTAACAGTCGGAGTAGCTCGAATGTTTCATCCCTGTATAGGCGGTTACTGTGCTGGGGTTTCATTAATTTGTCGAATTTCCTAAATCAAAATTGATCGAGTCAGAGAATCGTTTTTCATAATTCGATCGAAGTATGAACCGATATCGAGGCACTGCCAGATGATCAAAGACAATGGATAAATTATCTATTAACGGTTCGGGAAAATTCTCATACATGGTCTTCAAAGGAAGAATGAGGCAGAAGAACCGGAACGAAATACGGAAGCATCTCCCGGTACATCCAAAGATGACAAGGGCACAGAGAGCATTAAGAGCCTTAACCTCTTAACTCTCTACCCAGTCTCATCTGAGGATGTAGTAATTGAAGAAAAAGAAGAAGAAACAGAAGAGGGGAACATGGAACACACCCTCATCAGTGTGGACGACACCCTCATCGATGAGAATTAAAATGATCGCCCAAGTGAATGTCCATCATGCCTAGGGAGCATCGGCTGTGATCTCCAGAACATTCACTAAAGACCAATTAGGGATCGCAATGATCCAGGAGTAAAAATGCAAGGGTAATTTATCACACTAGTGATTTAGGATGAGGTGGCAAAACATAATAATAGCTTCTAGTTACTTCGCCGAAGATGGACCTGTATCATTCCCGGAAATATCGAGGCTAGTGTAGTACTGCCATATGGGGAAGCAACGACACCAATCAAAGAGATGAGCAATTTATAAAATATATTTTTAATAAGAACCTTATTGTGCAAAATATTGGGAATATTCCATTTCTAACAAGGGCAAGAATTGAGGTATTAGATATCACAATAAGTACACATAAGATCACAAGATAATTGTGTTAGAGAGCGACACTCCTGAGGTGATCCTCAGGAGGAATCCTAGAAAAACAAACTGGGACAAATACAACACCATTCTAAAACAAAATTCAACACGTATCCAGACAAAAAAGGAGCATAAGTGCCCACTCGCTTTGGAAAGCGTTCTCGAAGAACTAAATGAGGCAATACTTAAGGCATATAAATCAAGCTGCCCCATCCAATGAAATAGAACTAGTAGGGATGCTTCTGAGTGGAACCTTTATCTGTCAAACTTACGATCCAAAGTGCGGAAGCTCTATAATAGGGCCAAGCACAGCGGAGATTGGCAGAGCTACACCGAGGCACTTATTACCTACAACACAGAAATCAGGAAATCCAACCGTAACAGCTTTAGAAACTTCTGCGAGGAGATTAGCTCTACACCTGAGGCAGCGAGACTATACACAGGGCCCTGGCAAAAGGGAGAGTTGATACAGTTATGGCGTTAAAGAAACCAAATGGAAGCTTCACGGAGAGTGAGGAGGAAAGAGCTCGCCTCTTACTCGAAACTTATTTTCCCGGGAGCACACCTTTTCTAATAACGGACACAACTAAGGTAAGCAGACACCCAAGAGATGCAGCTGTAGTGGCCAAACACATATTAGCAGCAATCGGTTAAAGTGGGCCGTAAACACTTTGAACCGTTTAAGTCTCCAAGTGTGGATTGGACATTGCCGACTCAAAGGACACCTTAGTAAACTGAGAGTAGTAGATGATAGTGAGTGCATATTCAATTAGGAGGACGAAATCTCCAATCACATTCTAACTGAATGTGTAGCACTCCAGAATCCAAGGACATTATATATGGGAGCATATCAAATAGAAGAGGGAGATTTACCTAACTTAAAGCCACTCCAAATCTTATACTTCTTTGAGAAGAGGATTAGAAGGGTCGTTATAGACATTGAGATATTTCCTTGCTGCATTAGCGACAGAAGAGGACACAATAGATATTTTAGTTCGCAGTTTATTAACACCCAATTCCCAACATAACATAACATACTCGAAACAAAACCGAATCCCACCCCTCAAAATAATATATTTATTAAAAAAGCCATAAAGTACAATGAGAACAAAGGTTTGATCACTTTAATCTGCAAAGAGTATAATATATAGAGAGTCCCCTAGCGGCTACAATAAAACGACTTTTCTTACCATAAACCCCCGTATAGTAATTTCAATGCAATACATTAAATACATAATATGTATATTATATTTTTGTTTTTTAAATTCAAACGGGTATCAAAGTCCTGTTACAAAACTGAAACAAAATTATGTAATTTAAAATTATTCAGAGCTTTTAGAATTAAAATATATCATTTTAAAAATACATTATATAATGTGATATTTTTTTTTAATTGTGGTCATCGGCATTGACTGGTCATTGTCCTCATTTATTGCATTACTATTGTTAGTTACATGTGTTACTTTTTTTCATGTTTAGGATGAATTCGTTTTGTAAACACAATTATTTTATTGGTAAACGAACCAATCGGATGCGCTTACGAACTGTTTTGAAAAAATGATTGCTAGTTTCTTCGGAAAAACGAGCGGTTGCATGTTTTTTTTTTTGTGGGTTGAGTTGAAAAACAGCTTTAATTGAACTTCGCCCTTTTATGTACACTGTATATAAATAAAGACGTTTATTTTTTTATTATTATTAGCTTTAGAGGATAGTTCAGTTAATGCTGACTGATATACTTTATTGTATTTCTCGGCGAATCATTCTTCATCATGACAATGCAAGCTCTCAGCACGACTAAGGTGTTTTGAAGATTGGTTTCATCGGATGCAAAGTGTATAGATTTTAAAAGTGAATATTTTTAGAAGCAATCGATTTACATAAATAACGTAATTTGTATTATGTTTTACATTTTTACCAACTTTAAGCAATGCTTAAAATACATATGCTAACAATCGCTCTAAGAACAATAAACATATTAAAAAAAAACTCAAAGCAAGCATATTGGTAAATAATGATTAAAAATGAATTTAAAAAAAAATCAGTAATAGCTTTAGTAGATGAAATGAATAATTTTGATTCTTTTACTCACCACATTTGCGAAAAACGAGTCCTCCCCCTTTATATCACTTTCGCTGAAATTGTACCTTCTCAATAACTTATCCGTATTAAGATCGAAGATGGCAATTGACGATGGAATGATCTGCTGGGGGTTTCCCAGAATATCAGCTAAACCTGTCTCCATAACCCATAATCTGTCGCATGCGTCAATGTTGACCCTGAACACCGAGATTATTTGGTTGTCTGCAGGAGTTTCTCCTTTTTTCGGGATTTGATTGGCTTTCCAATCGGGATAGGGGATGAGAGTGGGTGATTTTTCTGTGGTGTTAAGGGGGATGTAGTTTAAGCTGGCCGCTACACCTGCTTTCCATCTAAAACAAAAAATATAGATTATTTACTCATCGGCAGGGAAAGCAAATTTTTGCGCCAGATACAACACACGCTATCCACCGGTCTATCGGTTTTTGTGCCAACTTCAAAGAGATTTGCGTCGAACGACCCTCGAATTCTTGTTTTGATGTGTACTTGAATATTTTTTTAGTTTGTACTATTATTTCAATAACAATTATTGATACGCACGACGCACGAAAATAGATCGCAATAGATACATCAACACAACGCACATATTTGCGAAAAATCACAATAAAAAAAATATTTGCGCCACATTAATCGAATTAAATTACCGGTTTTGAGCTTACATTAAATTGTAATTAGATGAAACAAAATGGATTCTATGTATTTTGAGGTGATCTTTTCGAAAAAAGGCAAAACAAAATGTAGCAGTTTTTCGAAAGTGCCGAAATTTTGGATTTTGTCAATTTTTCAATTTTGCGCATGCGCATGTCGCAAATAAATCATTATTTTTAAAACGCAGTTTACGACATTTGAAAGCTTAGAAAAAATGCTAATTTTTATGTCTCCTGAGAAATTTTTATCGGATGCACCGTTCTCGCGGTATGGACGATTGAAATTTGTTTAGTATTTTGAGGCGGCGAAGGTCGAAAAATTGAATTTGTTAAATGTTCAAACACTAAATTCTTCATAACTTTGGTAAAAATTAAGATATTTGAAGAAACAAAAATTCGTTTTGAACTTAAGGGATGTGACTATTGATTCCCAGAAGGGGGCAAGAGAAATTCCAAAATTGGGCATATGGCGGAAGGGCAAAGTGTACCGCAAGCCTATTTTCATTGTTTGTCTATAACGGCCAAACTATTTAAATTTATTCAATACCACTTACAGAGCTTACTCTTAAATATGAAATCTTATACGTGTGTGAATTTTACCGAAATCGGATTATAATTGGCCAAGATATCAAACAATTTAACAAATTTTTTCCCTAAAAAAAAACTATTTTTTTTCGAAAGTTTGAAGTGGCACAAAAATGCCAAAAATACTCTATTATGTTTAGAATACGATTACATTACGGAAAATTCTGCAAAAATATTTTATCTATTTTTTTGACCACTGTTCATTGAGTGACGACAAAAAAAACACGGTTTTTGAGAAAAGTTGCCTAAAATTGACGATTTTCAGTTTTTTGGTCTGAAAATTGAGCAAACCCAAATCTCATGTCTTCTGAATGTGTATACAAAGTTTAAAGTGTGTATGTTTCTTCTAAGTTGTAGAATTCTCCCGACAAAAGTTCCATTACACGCGCTCCGCGGGATCCAAAACTCGTGCATTTCTGTAATTTGATTTTTTTGTGATTTCCAGTTTTAAATTTCTTACATACCTAAATTTATTAGGCCTAAAATTTATTAAATTGTATTTTACTGACTTGTTATAAGACGTTTCTTGAGTTTTGTGCAAAAAAATAGAATTACCGCAAAATTAGCCGGACGTCGTATCAAGGATAGTCATGGTCTCGGCGTTCGCTATCCGACAAGTTTAAACTTGAAACGGTCATATTATTACAAATTGAATCGCTTGATAGTGTATATCGGCATAGATTTTTAATAACCGTGTTTAGCAAACTCTGTGTATACGTCGTTTTTCGGACTTCTTCAGCAATTTATTAAATAAGTACGTTCTTAAATTAAGAAAATTCTATCACAGTGCTATAATTTTTTTGTTTCCAGGTTGCAATGGCTGGACTGTGTTTATTATGTCATCAGAAATTTGCAGAGGGTGAACTTACCCCAATTAGACCGACAGGATTGAAAGGTCTGCAGATGGTCAGCAAAGAGAGAGGGGATGGTTTTTTCAGTTCTTTAGAACCAGGTTTTATATTGCATGAAAGGTGTCGCAAACATAACGTAGCTCGACGTTACGGAAAAGAGTTTATTTATAAAACCTGGGATAGGCATAAAACGACCACGATTGACAATGCCAAAAAAAAGGAGGATGGAGCATCAACCGAGAAGAAAACCAGATATTAGAGAACAAAAAACAAGCTTATCACCAAGTTGGAACTTACACTCAAGCTTAGGATTAATTTCCTAACATTTTTAAAGTATACCTTTTTGTATATTTTTTTGTGCACTTTCCGATGGCGCAGTTAGTTTCTTCAAATATATTTTTTGTTAGATGTTTTCGGAAAACCCGGAGAAAATCATATATGAAAAAATTAAAAACAAAATTACGCCTTCCGGTTTCCTGCGAATTCCCGAAAAATTATGGCAGATTTCGCCGCTTGACTTATTTTATTTGAGAGCCCACAAAAAAATACGCAACTTCTCTCATGGGCACATATGTCTAACATTTATAATTTCGCCACAAATTCATCGCAAATTTCATGTTCATGATTCTGATCAAAGAAACGAAAAACCAACTTTTTGGTAAAAGCACTTCTGGCGGCGAGCAATTCGCCATTAAAACTACCTGTGCAATGAAATTCCGAACTATTTTTGCCTCCTCTTTCGATTGGTGCATTTATTTTTACTATGAAATTCCGAACTATTTTTGCCTCCTCTTTCGATTGGTGCATTTATTTTTACTATCAGAATGATACTTGCCCAGATAATTAGCATTTTTACCATGGAAAATTCCGGAAAACCCGGTTTTTCCTAATTTAAAAAAAATTGTAAAACTGCTACATCATTTTTTTCTTTTTTTCCGAAAGATCACATCAAAATACACAAGCTCCACTTTGTTTCATCCAATTACAAATTAATGTAAGCTCGAAGGGGCTTTTTTCGTTATTTAATTGGACTACATATATTTTTGTCGAATTCAACACACAACATTCAAGAAACAAATTTATCCCGGCTTAAGGTGATGTAGCCGAGTACGTAAGAACTAAAATAGTTATTTGTTAAAAGTTATTGGCTCGCAACGTCATAATTTATATCCGAATCTTGTACCGAATGAACTTTCTACGTATATGATTTATATCAAAACGTGACAAAAAAAACATTACACATTTATTATATTGGCTAATATGAACCGGTTATAAAAATTTTATTTTAAAAGAAAGTTTCATGTTTGTTGGATAACATATTTTATTACACACCTACGATTTCGCGATTTAAAGATTCGTCTCTCTTGAAGATGCGAATCGAAATCATCATAATAGCAGATTACTTATTGAATGGGAAATCCATCATTACTGTCGAGGTCGAGGGCTAATGCTAATAATATACAGATACGGAAAGTTATACGCGGATTCTCTGTTTTACAATGAATTAGACAAGGTATAACAGGGACATATGTGTATCAAACAAAGACTGCTGATCGCTTTACTACATACTTTAGCCAAGGTTGGAAATCGTGATTCAGACCGGAACGCTTAGGTTCCTATATGCATTACAAGTGGTACGTGCCTCCTAAAAACTTGACATTTTTGTTATGCTCATTCGAGATCAGTGCCCACCTATACGAAATATTAAACCTTCCACCAATTTCGCTGAACCCTATTTGCTCTCCAATGTTTTAATGTAGTGCGTGAGTGGGCATGCATGTGACTTATTTATAAATTATTTTAAAATTAGTTATTTTGTTTTAATAATAGGTAACCTAAAATTTGTTTTTATTTGTAAATTTTCGTTATTGGGTCGTAGAAAAAATATACTGTACAACTCGAGTGGATTGTCCACATCGCACTCAGACGATTGAGCACTCCGCCTACGGCGTCGTGCTCAAATTTCGTCTTCGTGCGATATGGCCATCATATCCACTATTGTTGCCGAAACTACTATTATTCCGGTCTTTCGCGCAACTTAGTCGAGGAAATGAAGCACTGAAAAGTCCAAAAGTTCGGAATTTTTTTAGACTAAGACGAATCCGAAATTGCAGTGCTGCAGCCAAAAATACATTCTAAAAATGCATTTTTTGAGACAGCTTTTGGAAGATTAAAGAACTTTGTAAATAAGAGTTAGAACTAGCCTAAATCGAGTTCCGGGGGTTTTCGAGGTCGCTGATCACGATTATGATGTTCAAATTGACCCACAGCTGACCTGCAGCTCAGGAACGTCGATAAACGTCATCTCCGTGGGACGCTCCCGAAATTCACGCGGGGAAGGAGAGAAACTGGGCGCCCAGAGTTTTTTTGGGTCGCTGAATTGAAATATGGCATCGGCGAACACCCCTCGGACACCTAGTGTGCCGGAACCTGGACGTCATTCCCGAGAATTTTCCTGACAAGATCGCCAAAAACAACCCGAAAACCATTGTGGAGCCGTTTTTTTTTCTGGCGGTGCATCCAAATTTCACGTTAAAAATCACCCCTGAACACCTGGTGCACCGAAACCTGGACGCGTACCTCATCTCCGTGGGGTTTCCTCACACAATCGAAAAAAACGAAGCTAAAATTGTTATGGGGGGTTTTGGGGCGCTGAATCCGAATTTCCCGTCGGAAATGACCCCTCCAACACCTGGTGTACCGGAACCTGGCCCTGAACGTCATCTCCGTGGGACTCTCCCAATATTCACGCGGGGGGTTTTTTGAGTCGCTGAATTCAAACGTGGGATCGTCGAACACCTTCCGGATACCTAGTGCGTCCGAACCTGGACGTTGGTAGGCGGGGCCTGGACTTAAGAGAAAGTTTCTGTGTATACTTACACAAAAGTGTTTCGAGCATTGCAAGAAAAGCGAAAGTCCGCTGGGCAAAGTTCGGAGATTTAGCCAGATATTATTCTCGTAATTCTCCTCGCTATAATCAAACTCGGTATTTAAAATTTTACAGGACTGGATCAACTTTTTCGAGGGCGCCAGGCGAGAGTTACACATCAATGAATGTGTGAAATTATGAGACTATTTTTGGTTAGTCTTTTGCGATCGTGTCTGGAAATCCCTCGGAGACGACGTTCAGGGCCAGATACCGGGGCACTAGGTGTTCAGGGGATCGTTTTCGACATGAAATTTGGATTAAGCACTCAAAAAAACGCCCCCACAATGATTTTCGGGTTGTTTTTGGCGATCTTGTCAGGA